TTTTCTCCACCATCTCAATACAGGTATACATATATGATCTAATATATATACTAATTAATTAATTATTCTAAGAACAAGTTAAATTCATCATGTAACATTTTTAAATAGGTATCCATTCAGAACTGTTATGTGTAATCGGTAGAATAGACTTTACTAGGTAACTCATTTCATCTCATTAGTCGGTCTGTCTGTCTATCCATCCATCTGTCTGTCTGTCTATCTACTATCTGTCTGTCTATCTATCTATCTATCTATTTATCTATTTGTCTGATAATTCTATTAATTATTTAATAGTCTGATGGAAAGTTGTACTTATTAGGATTGCTTTAAACCATTGCATAGTATTAGCCTATCCATAATAATCATCATAATAATAATAATATAATTAAACATGTACTATTGAACATTGTAAAACCATAATTTAATAGTTGAATTTATGAGTCAATTAAAGCTAGACTAACATTGAAACTCTGGAAACACTGAATGGCCTAATTGTTCTAGTATGGGATTCCTCAGTAGTTCATATCCAAGATCTCACCTCGTTAGATTCGAACCTAGGATCTATTGGTCTGGCACACGAGCACTTAACCAATAGACTACTGAATTGGCATCCAACAGTGTTAAAGTTTAAACATACAAGTTAGATTAGAGATTTAATTGAATAGTTGGATACTATTAGAGAAATATGTAGTAATCCATGATAATAATGTATATAAATTTGTTTTGTTGATTTTTTGAGCCTGGATTACCTTAATGAAGAAGTCTAGACAGATTTACTGGATGAAATGTTAGAATTCACTTGGTATTGTTGTTTACTCGAATCTTCCTACTGAGGTTTAGGATTGTAATTGATCAGTCTCTTATTGACATATGTGTATACTATGTGTATTGTTTTGATATTGTCTTAATTCACAAGCATTATAAAGAAACATGGTTAGTGGCTTACATTGAAATCCAGGACGCACGTTTCGTCAGTTGGATGTACCTGGATCTCGGAGTTGATATTCACTCTTGAAATCGAACCCAGTACTGTTCACTTCAAACGCCATCGCTTTATCTACTTAGCTACTGATTCCTGATGGCAACTTGCTTGTGCAATGGGTGAATTGTAAATTCACTTGATATTGTTTGCTTGTATCTTCCCATTGTTGCTTAGCATTGTAATTGGTCAGTTTCTTATTGGTATATATACATCTTGTGCGTATCGCTTCGATATTACCTTAGTTGACAAGGATTCTAAGCAAAGATGCATAGTGCCTGGCAGTGGAATAAAAAGTGTGCGTTTCATCCGAAATAGGACGCGCTTCTTGGATTCTACTGCTAGACACTATCCATAATTTTTGTATAATATAAACTATATTGTTTGTTTGTTTGTTTATAAACTTTGTCATTTTGTTAATTTCTTAACTTTCAAGTATAAAACTTATATGTAAAGTGATGAAGATTTGTAGCTAAGGTGGATGATTTTGATGGAGTTTTGTTCTCTAAACTGACATTTCCTATAGAAATACATTTGTACAAGAAGTTTATTGTTATAATTTGTGGGCCTTATACTCCTATTAATCGATAACGTAATGATACCGGTAATTAGTGAACCAGTGATTTGTCGACTGGACAAATAGCGCGTAAACCTGTACGAGCAGTCTAGAGTGCTTATCGGTCTTTACTTTCCGCCTAGCACAGACTCTTAGAGGCCACAACACCAATCTCAACCTCCACTATATGAATCATATATTTCAAACATACTGACTTTATATACCAACTAACCAAACCACATCACACCATAAAATACGAAACATCATTTGTACAAGATATAGACAAATGTGACTGTGAATGTGGGAGAATGTAATTGACAGACTGGGCACAACTCAAGAATGGTAAATCATATCATCATATTCTATGGGTCAAATGGAAGTGCATAATAAGAGGAATATGAATATGCAGATAGTTTATTTCCATAAGAGTTACACAATAAGAATATATGTATCGTATTTAGTCGATCCCAACAGTTACCACTATACATTATCCTCATTGGGATATATCATTTATAAAGGATGAACTAACTTGACATATAAAGATGATTAAACCTTGTTGTATTTGTTTAATTGAAATATTTAATTTATTAAACTAAATATAAAATGACCCATTTGAACTTACTCATAATAAAGTTTAATGTCAAGTTATCTAATTATTATCAACATAATGTATCTATTGTATGAACTCTATTGTAATTATCTGTTGAGAAGGACATTATATTATACATCAATCATTATGACAGTTTTATTTAAAATTTCAGTGATCTTTAGTTTTGTTAGAAATATGAAGGCGGTTATTAGTTCCCGGTTGCCCACACCGTGGAAAAGTTCTTCTACAGGTATCTGAAAAGAATTTGAGTTAGGCGTAGTCTTATTGGCCTGAGAGAGTGACCGCAGTACCCAAGGGATAACTGCTTGAGGTCAATCAAACACGACATTTCTGTGAGTAATTTCCGTGTTACTTCCGTACTTGTTCAGACATTACCACCACAGACGGATATCCGTGGTATAAGGTGAGGTGTGCATTTTCAGAGTTGACGTTTTCTAATCCTACCCTTCGTATGCGGCAGGGCAGCATCACTGTTATGCTAGTTGTGTGAAGGAAACACCCTACTCCCATCACACCTCGGATGTTGGGTTTTTCTGCATTCAGTCTTGCCGCTCTTCAGCTGACCTGTCTGGCACGGTAGGATCTTCAGGAACGATTGTTTCAACTGGTATAGCTCGATTGGTTCATTAAAGTAGGCAACCCCAACCACTAGCGGTTGCGACATAACCAGTGCATCATCTTTCACTAGTGAGAGGAAATTTCCGTAGTTCTAGTATTAAATTGTAGCATTTATATACTGAAGACAATAGAAGATGATCGGGCAATATCATTCATTGGTTGAAGTTAGACATTAAGACCGTCGAATGTTGGCTTAGTGGTCTAGAGGTTAACTGTTTGTGCACAATACTGAATATTCTGGGTCCGAGTATTGGATGTGGGATCGTGAGTGTGCACATACTAGAAAGAAACAGCTATCCACTCTTCTCAAGTTTTCAATGATTTTTCAACATTGATCAATTCATGATTTCAATGAAATTTTCTAAAGTTTAAATAGTAAGGGGGAATTGGTTTAGTCAATCAATGATGATCGTATTTCATGACACAATAACTGATATATAACATTATATACCATAGAGTTTCAGCTCACTATTTAAGTACTGTTTTAATCACTAAATTATCCATATTCGATTTGTTTTTTTCACAGAATGAATGTACAGTACCAATAACACGCTGCATTTTCATTATGGGATTGTAGAGATTATTGAATTTCATTCAAACCATAAATCGATCAATGTAGGACAATCATTGAAAACTCCAAAAGACAGAATAGCTATTTCTTTCTAGTATGAGTTCACTCAGTAGTGCGCAATCACAAACTCACACGCGATACTCGGACCCAAAATATTCGGTATTGAGCATGAACAGTTAACTTGTAGATCACTGAACCAGTATCCAACGGTGTTATTATCTAACTTCATCTAATCCACAATATTTTCCGACTATCTTCTATTGTCTTCGATGGGTAACTGCTTCACGCTTGACACAGTTAATCTCAAGATTTCCGTTGAATAATATAGTCGAAAAAGTATATTGTATAAATGACTTAAACTAAATGAAATAGCTTTCCATTTCTTCTTGGTTTATGAAGCTTTTCTAGATTATTACAATACATTTTAATACAAAACATGTAGTTCGAGACCCTTACATTATAGCTGTATACACACAAATACTACCCTAATTATATCATTCTTTTTATTACTGGAACAATAAGTTGATAAGTAAGTTATTGCAGTGAGTCTATTTATCCCTGCATATTTGCCAAATCTTGTTACTTGACTGGAATACCGTAATATTATAACATTATAGTTTGTTGTTCAGAAGAACGGTGAAAGCTCCACGACCAAACCATCCATCAACATTATAACATTGAATTTTCCTTTTCCATAAATTTGACATTATAGCCTCCTTCTAAAGAAGATACTAAATTCAAAAGCTGTATCCTATGACTTAGAACGATCTCATAGTCTTAATGAACTACTTAACTTATATTATTATCACTTTAATAAATTCAGTTGTCTTCCATAAATGAAACGTATTGTACAAACCCTCAACGTACTATAGCATTAATGAGTAACAATGTGCACCAGTTTAATATGACTTGCGTAGAAAAGATATGACATCTAACGTTCCAAAACATTCCTGACGTTGTAGTTGAGGTCTCCTGTCAACAGTGAATAACAAAGACAACTCTCTGCTTATAAGATTGATAAATATTGTTCATTTACTCACTTACGCCTGTTAATCTCAGTGGAGCATAGGCCGCTGAACAGCATTCTCCAACCCACTCTGTCCCCGGCCTTAATTTCTAGTTCTATCCAACTGTTGTTCGTTCTTTTCATATCTGTCTCCATTTCTCGGCGTAAAATGTTCTTGCTTATTCCACTTCCCCTATGACCTTGAGGATTGTAAGTGAGGGCTTGTCTTGTGACACAGTTCGGTGCTTTCGTCAATGTATGTCAACTGCCACTTCCAGCACTTCTTTCTGATTTCTTCCTCCACTGAGATCTGGTTTGTTTTCACCCATAGTAGGTTGTTGCTGATAGTGTCTGACAACTGTTAATAAACGCTTGTATCTTCTGGATGATGGCTTTCGTACTTCTCCAAGTTTTTGCCCCATACACATTAGAGCTGTCATGATATTTGTATTGAAAATTATGACCTTGGTGTTGGTCAAAACTTTGCTTAATAATACTGTACTCTAAACTGTTATTTATCTTTATGTATTTTGGTAGAGTATTAACCATCGAATTACTATCACTACTATTACGTAATCGTTCTTCTTGTTTGTTTGTTTTTTCTTCTACAGTTTACAGTTTTGTATTGGCAAATGCACGTATTGTTGATTATCCAATTGTTTATTGTAATGAAGGTTTCTCTCGATTAACTGGTTATAGTCGTGTAGAAATTATGCAAAAAAGTGGAAGTTGTGCATTTTTCTATGGTGAACAAACAACAAAAGATATGCGTGAACGTTTATTAAAAGCATTAGATACTCAAACACGGATCAAATTGAAATGTTATTTTATAAAAAAAATCGTAAGTATTTATTATACTATTGAAATGATATGGATCCATACTACTGATATATATATATAGCAGGGTTGCCAGTTGCTTCTATTCTGAGCCATATCTGATAACGTTTCTAGCCATTGTGTTACACCATCTCTAAGATTCCAACCAGGGAGTCGTGAAGGATCGACAGAAGTTAGTCCTGTGCAACATTCTTTCATACCGCGACACCATGTCATACATTGACCACCTCTCCGCTTTTTCCAACCAGTCTCAGCGTCGGCAAATAATGCACGATGTGTAATCCTCTGGGACGACATTCGTAGAACATGTCCTACACACAGAAGTCAATGTTTCAAAATAGTGCCCTAAAACACGATGCTGAACCTGTGCATTACTAACATGGTGTTGTCATTGGATGTCAACAGTCCTTCGGAGACAACAATGATGAAACACATAGATTCGTCTAACATCCTCAACTAGCAGAGGCCAGGTCTCACAGGCATAAAGCTCTCACCGACGCGTTGTAGATCCGACTTATATATATATATATATGGTGTGTTTTGATAATTCTTTGATTTTTGTGTTAATATTAGTTTAGTTGGAGGTTAAGTACTCTCTATTGTATTGTTTCCTAGGTGTCAACATTTGTGTGCAATACATAGTATTTTCCCATTTAATGATTGAATGCTATATATTATATGTATGATTTTCAATGAAGATTATATCTCAAAGTCTTGATATCACTCTTGATCTTTTTATCCAGATCTACAGCAACGTGTTCACAAAAGATATATATAGATAGCTTTAGATAATTGAAATGAAGTTCCCATCGAAATTTACACCTTTATAGGGAATACTAACACCTAAAATGAACAAGAAGATCTTCATAAACGTTAGATATTACACTTTTATTGAACATCAAATGTGAATGGTATTCCTCACCTACTCTCCACGATACCTGATGGCATTGAGTTCAATTCTTGGATGAAGACTGTCTGACAGTTCCATACTACAACGAATCATCTATGTAGTGTTATACATCTATCAATGATCTACTAACTAAAATCAGTTTGAGATTTAAAACACTGTGATTTTACACATATAGAGTATAGTTTCCTTGACAACGAATGGGTTATTTAATGGTCTATGTGCTAATTAAAAGTAGTAAAGTGAAAGTATTACGTAATTAAAATGTATGATTGTTCTAATATGAAGCAAATAAAGAATACATAAACGTAGCCTGTACAATAGGAAGTATAAACAACTCTTCGTAGTTTTTGCTCTTAGTCTATTCGATTAATCATGTACAAGATTTCTAAAGATCAATCTTACAAAGGTAGTTCATAATTAGAAGTAACAAAGTGATCCAGAAAATAATTGTTCTAGTTGTTTTATGAGTCTTAACACAATTATACTAGTCCAGAAAAACAGTTTAAACGGTTTATGTAATCTATTTCATTAAATTAAGTAAAATAACAGATTCGGATAGTAGTGGCTCAAGGTATGGTCTTGTTATAACTTGATGCCTAATACCCTATTAATATACAACGAAATGATACAGGCAATTAGAGAACGGGACCAATGACTCATAAACCTGTACGAGCAGTCTAGAGTGCTTATCGGTCTTTACTTTCCGCCTAGCACAGACTCTTAGAGGCCACAACACCAATCTCAACCTCCACCATATGAATCATATATTTCAAACATACTGACTTTATATACCAACTAACCAAACCACATCATACCATAAAATACGAAACATCATTTGTACAAGATATAGACAAATGTGACTGTGAATGTGGGAGAATGTAATTGACAGACTGGGCACAACTCAAGAATGGTAAATCATATCATCATATTCTATGGGTCAAATGGAAGTGCATAATAAGAGGAATATGAATATGCAGATAGTTTATTTCCATAAGAGTTACACAATAAGAATATATGTATCGTATTTAGTTGATAAATCGATCCCAACAGTTACCACCATTTATTATTCTCGCCTGGATGTAACAGAGTTTTTCCCTCAAGCTAGAAAAGAGTACCCATACCATAGTCTTCATAAAACTACACTCCTTAAATACGGTGTTCACGAAAAGTCTTTTCTAATGCTACATGGAGTCTTGAAAACTACATTCCTGATTATAAGTTTCTATCTAAATACCTGAGAGTATATCTGTTAATGATGAGTGACGCAGTTAGGTGCTTTTCTCAATGTATGTCCTTTCACTTCCAGCGCTTCTTCTTGATTTCTTCCTCCACTGGAGTTCGGTTTGTTCTCTCCCACAGTAGGTTGTTGTTGATAGTGTTTAGCCAACGGATCTGAAGTATTTTGTATAGACAACTGTTAATAAACACTTCTATGTTTTGGATTATGACTTCCGTAGTTTTCCAAGTTTCCAATCCATACAGTAGAACTGTCGTGACATTTGTATTGAAAATTCTGACTTTGGTGTTGGTTGACAGTTGTTCTGAGTTCCAGATGTTCTTCAACTGTATATATGCTGCTCTTGCTTTGCATCAGATCCACCGTGTTCATCAACAATGTTGCCTATTGTCGGTATGAAATTCACAATAATTATATTGTCATGAATTAAACAAATTTCCCTTATTTCTACATTTTAGGTTTACCATTTTGGTTACTTGTATGTGTTGCACCAGTTCGTAATGAATGTGAAGAAGTAGTACTATTTCTATTGGCCTTCAGAGATATCACAGCGTTGAAAACACCATTTGATGATGAAGATACTGTTAAAGGTAAAATGTTGTGATTTCTGTTTGTTTGTTTGTTTGCTTCTTTTTAGAAAAATAAACTCCTATTTAAAAGGTAGAGCTAGAATCACCAATTATTTACTTTTATGTACTGAAATGTGTAATAGATGTACCTGTATACATGACTCGTGTTTTACTTTAAAAAACCTTCTTATGGAGTTCGACTTCCCCTCTTTCACATTAACGGAGCTGAAACTTGGAGGACGGCTACAACAATCACCAAGAAGGTACAAGTATTTATAAATAGTTGTCTACCAAAGATTCTCAACATCCATTGGCTAGATACCATCAGCGACAGCTTACTGTGAGAGAGAACAAACCAGCTTTCAGTTGAAGAGGAAACTAGACAAAGACGATGGAAGTGGATAAGACATACATTATGGAAATAATCGAACTACATCACTAGGCAATCTCTAACTTGGAATCGTGAATGGAAAGGGAAGATAGGAAGCCCAAAGAACACATTACATCGGGAAATAGAAGAAGATATGAAAAAGGATGAATAACAACTGGAAAGAACTGGAAAGATCATCTCAAGAGTTCAACTTACTTACTTACGCCTGTCAGCCCTAATGGAGCATAGGTCGCCGATCAGAATTCTCCAACCCACTCTGTCCTGGGCCTTCTTTTCTAGTTCCATCCAATTTGTGTTCATTTTTCTCATGTCTGTCTCCATTTCTCGACGTTATGCGTTCCTTGATCTTCCTCTTTTCCTTTGACTCTGAGGATTGCAAGTGAGAGCTTGCCTTGTGACTCAGTTTGGTACTTTCCTAAATGTGTGTCCTACTCACTTCCAGCGCTTCTTCCTGATTTCTTCCTCCTCTGAAATCTTGCTTCCAGTTAAAGAAACGATTTGTTTTAATAAAAGTTCAAACTTAAAAAAATATGACTGAATAGTTATTTCACAGTATTTAGGCGCCCAGTTAATATGAGACATTAAAGAGGAAGAATGTATTAGTAAGATCTCAGCCTAGATTGTCAGATGAAACGTTAGATTTACTTCAACTTCATTTATTAAACTTAAGATTTAGGAGAATATGTAGAACATATGTGAAACATTAAGTCATTCATCATAGCTTATGATCACTTCATGAATTTCAAATAGGATGATTACATCTTACAACATAACTCATAGCATAGATTGATTTACTTCCTTTAAGATGTGAAAACATGCTTGTAATATATATTTTGATCTATCAAAAGTCTGTCTTTTTTTTTAGAAAAGTACCCTATCCTTTACCTCAATGTGATTCATTTGGTAAATTCGCTATATACTTAAGTAATACTATTTCCCTCAAAATAATGAATTACTGTACTTTGTCAGTACATTCCTTCTACACATTTCATCTAAATTAATAAGCATTTATAATGCATTGTCTCAAGTCACAAGCATTATGATCAAAGATGGATAGTCAGTCAGAAGGAATAATAGGAATTGAAGAGGGAAGTTGATTATGAATACAGTGGTCTTGAGTGCTGTTAGAGGTATGAGAGCGGTTATTAGTTCCCGGTTGCCCACACCGTGGAAAAGTTCTTCTACAGGTATCTGAAAAGAATTTGAGTTAGCGGGTGGTCTTAGTGACCTTAGAGCATGCCTGCAGTGCCCAAGGGACAACTGCTTGAGGTCAATCAAACACGACATTTCTGTGAGTAATTTCCGTGTTACTTCCGTACTTGTTCAGAAATTACCACCACAGACGAATATCCGTGGTATAAGGTGAGGTGTGCATTTTCAGAGTTGACGTTTTCTAATCCTACCCTTCGTATGCGGCAGGGCAGCATCACTGTTATGCTAGTTGTGTGAAGGAAACACCCTACTCCCATCACACCTCGGATGTTGGGTTTTTCTGCATTCAGTCTTGCCGCTCTTCAGCTGACCTGTCTGGCACGGTAGGATCTTCAGGAACGATTGTTCCAACTAGTATAGCTAGATTGTTTCATTACGATATGCAAAACCGACCACCATATCAAGGTAGCAACAACGGTCGGGAAAAAAAGATGTATGGTGACTAACAGCGAAACCCAGTATGCGTGTTTCGTCTTATTTGCGACACATCAGCTGGATTTACCGACATGTGCCAATGTTAAATTATTATTCAGAGAATTCTGAATAGCTTGACGCTACACAAATGCTTACGAAATTATTCACGACATTTTAAAATGTTTATTGTTAATCCTCATCAAATTACGCATTGAGTTCAACTATGGCGATTTCATATTATTTAACACTCATTATTACAGTATGATTATGTTCAGATCTAATTTCCTTTGTGAGGTTTTTATCACCTAATATCATAATAAGAAATATCACCACATCAAACCAGGTAGTAATTAAATTTAATTAGTGATAGACTAATATTAGCTACCATTTAATATAATCATTATTTCATCCATTCAAGTAGAAAATCAAACAAATACAATTGTATAGAAACTAACTAGTTACCCAATTGACTGATCACAGGGTGGTGATTATTGTCATGTGTGTCAGGTCTTCCTGAATGCAGATCGAATCCTATCAATCAAGTTGCAATGTGGCCAACAATCTAGGTGACTCGACATTGAGTGCATTATGTCGAGATAAGATGATGGTTGGAGGTAGTCAACAGGAAACCTTAGACGTAGGTTTCGTGCCACTTGGCACTCGTCAGCAAGGTTTAATTGTAATCTTAAGGGAATTGATGCTCCTTGACGGATTTCATCCCATGTCACCCAGCTTCAGAGCCAGAGAAGTTACCACTGGGCTATCCGTGACGCGAATGACCTGTAAGACTGAGGTGTATTCGCAATTGATTGGTCACTTAGTGGCTCATTGGTAACGTCTATGATTATCAAGATGGGTAAAACGGGATCGAATCTGTCAGGGAACATCAGCTCCTTCAAGATCACAGGTAGACCTTGCTGATGAGTGCCAAATAGCACGAAACTTAAATCCAGGGTTTCCTGCTGACTACCTTCAACTAGATACCATTTGATCACTATTCAAAAATAAAGTTTTCATGAGTATTAACTAAACTTAATGTTGCATATTGGCTAATCACTGGTTAGCAACAAAATAATCATGCTTATCCTAGCAGTGAATGAGTTCTATCGGTCAGCTTTTAGTATTGTCAACGGTTTAAGTGACATAAGATAGCGTGTTCATATTAGTTCTGCAGCTATTTGGAAGACTCTTCCCGTCTCTCACATTGTACGAGCATTCCATGTACCTAAATTAATGGTTGCTCTGGTTGTCAGAAGGGGCACCAACCTCGTGACGTCTGAAGGAACTCAGCTTTCATCATGGAGCATCATAACTCTTCTAAATGAAGATCTAACTCCCAGGGCACAATTTAAATGATTTGAATTATTTTTTCTGGTTAGGGTTTTTTTAGCGAGTTATTTTTCTGCGTGATGGGGTCACTAACCCTGTGCTCAACCCTCCTGCTTTATCCGAGCTTGTAACCAGCATTAGTCCTAGAGGGGCTTCAGGCGGAGTTATTGCAATGATATAGCTGATGGGGTCCACTTGTGATGAACATACGTTCCATAAATCGATAACAAGAAGTGATGGTCATAGATTATTTCAAACAAACTGTATTAGGAAATCTCGACATCTGAGGGAAAGTACGGAATACAATGCACAGAAAGGAATCAGTTGGAAGATTTGAACCTCACAGATGACCTAGATTTCTTATCCCATACACACGAACAAATACAAATGAAGACAAATAATGTAGCAGCAGCCTCTGTATCAGTATGCTTCGACATACATAAAGGAAAAAGCAACATCCTCAAGTACAACATAGTGAACATTAATTCAATCACACTTGATGGAGAAACTCAGGAATAGGTGGAATCTTTCACACACATCTGTAGCAGTACCATCAATGAACGATGAAATGTAAAGGTAAGGAGTGGCAAATTAAGAACAACATTCCTACAATTGAACAACATATGGAACTCAAAACAACAATCTGTCAACCAATATCGAAATCACAATGTTCAATATGAACGTCAAGACAGTTCTTCTGTATGGAGCTGGACTTCGAGAACTACTACATCCATCGTCAAATAGATACAAGTATTTATAAACAGTTGTCTGCGTAAGATACTGAATGCCGATTGTTGGCCAGATATCATCAGCAACAGTTTACTGTGTGAGATAACAAACTAAATTGCGAATGAAGAGGAAATTAGGAAAAGACATTGGAAGTGGATAGGATACATATTACGGAAATAATCAAACTGCATTACTAGACAATCGGTAACTCGGGATCCTGAAGGGAAACAAAAAAAAAGAGGGAGACCAAAGTGTACACTGTCGAGAATTGGGAGCAGATATGAAAAGAATGAATAACAACTGGAAATAACTAGAAAGAATTGTCCAGGACAGAATTAAATGAAGAATCATAATGAGTGGCCTATATTGCTCCATGATGTTAGGTAACAGGCATAAGTTAGTAAGTATTAAGAAATGTAAACTTCATGAATTTCTTATAAATGGTAATACACATATATATACACACACACCTCTAAGTGTAAACTTAGGTATATTCTCCTAACGGGTCTTATACTAGAACATTATAGCCAGCCAGCCATCCAGTACTCCTTAATTTCTTTAATAAATATCTCACCTCAATTCATTCCTATTCAAATGAAACAATCTCATAGCAACAATGAGGAATAAATCGTGTGAAAAATAGAAAAAATAAACAATTTTTTTTCTCCCGACCTACACTATTTCAGTTTATGGAATGACAAACAAAAAAAACAACATTCAATTAATAAAAGTAACTAGAAATTTCATTTAAATATCATATCGGCCCTCCCCCACTCGTCACCACCTCTTTTCTTAGTTTTACTGAAACAAAAACAAACCATAATGATCCAGTTTAAACTTGATGAAAATGAACTTTAAAAGGTAAATCAACTGAGAATTGTCAGGGAAAATGGGTGTGTGTGTGTGTGTGCATATATATATATATATAAACAAAATACAAGTTTTGTTATGACCTTTGTGAAAAAAAGAAACTCCAGGAGGAGAAGAAGAAGAAGAAGAAAAAAAGGGACGAAATAATTGTGAATAATTAATAACTTGATATACAAATATTAGTATAACTGATAATTAATACATCCGGTTGAATGACAGCTAATGTATATTGAGAAAGCTTGTTTGGCTTTTGCCAACTTACGTCACCTATGACGAAGGTGAGATATCTGTCTGTCAATTAAGAAACGCGTATACTGTGCATTAGTTCGTTCTGTTTTACTTTACGGATACGAAGTGTGGTCATTAAGAGTTGAAGTTACTCGTAAGCTACTAGTATTTGATCACATATGTCTTAGAAATATTGCTCGCATCTAATGGGATAACCGGGTAAGTAATAGTGAGGTTAGGCGCATGGTATTAGGGAATGGTGGTAAATCAGTTGATGAGGTTGTAAATCTTCATCGACTGAGGTGGTTGGGCCACGTGTTGCGTATGCCTGAACACCGATTACCACGACGCTCAATGCTAACTGGTGTTGGGGATGGTTGTAAGAAATTTAGGGGTGGCCAAACCAAAACGTGGCATCAGTGCTTAAAGTCACTAACTTCTAGTCTGAACCATGTTAGTAGATGCAGACTACCTGGTTGGTGTCCACGTGACTATCGTAACCAATGGTTAGAGACCCTTGGTGACATGACTCAGAATCGATCATAGTTGTGTAGGTGTACACATTCTTTGTCTTCCCTTAAACTATAAGATTAATATTGCTTTATATCTTTCTTTCTATGAACTAATTCTTTCTTCCTTTATTATATCCTTATACACTATCTTTCTTTTATATATTACTATCATTGAATTAAGTACTTATATGAATTCGGTGTTCATCTTGTTGTGCTAATGAGGTGTGGCGACTTGAACCGATGCATGTATATTCCTAGTCCTACGTTTTAGCTGACTGACTGACATATATACGACAAATTACTAATTAAACTGATTTACTTAAGTTGACTATTTAATTGCACCCTAAATATGCTTTTTTATAAGGTCTAAAAATTCAGTACACTGTTATTTGTAGATTAGTTCATGTGAATTGTTCGATAGTAATTCCAACACAAGAATGAAACATCTATTCATTCGGCATTTAACAGTTTCTTGCTTGATATTAGTCTAAATAGAAAATTTTCCAAAATAACCATTAAAACTGATGTAGGTAGTTTATCTCTAAAATCATATCATGTTCTGAGCGATAGTTAACCTACATTGAATAAATAATCTTTAATCAGAGAGGGATTTTGTGGATACATTATAGTGATTTAATAGTTGAATTCATAAGTCCCATAAAACTATACCACCATGGAAATCCTGATGAAAGTACTTGACGGCCATTTCGTTCTAGTATAGGACTCCTCATCAATGCGCATCCACGATCCCGCTCGGCGAGATTCACACCCATGAACTATCGGTCTCGCGCGAACGCTTAACCTATAAGCCACTAAACCGGAGATATTCAAAAGAACAAATGAATAAAAACAGCTGTTAGCTTAAAAGTCACCGTGAATAAGTGAGACTGATCCGTTATTATAAAGTCTAGTTTATTACTTCCTAGCAACTGTTATCCAAGACTACATGAGAATCAATCAAGTAATTTTGTGTCTCAGCTTAAGCATAGTCATTTCAAATAGCCGTCAACTTGTAATCCACTCGTCTGTTTTTCAATGAATTAACGGATCACTATTCGGTCTAGCAGTCAAATTATCGATAAATTGTGATTAACAATTCAGTCACATCCCCAATAAAAGTTCCAGACATCCATCTGAAACTTACATACTGTCATTAGTGAATACTTGAAACCCGCAAAATTTTGGTGATAAGGCTTAGTGGAGTCTAATTTAGTGTGTATATAGTATTATTAATGAATTGAATCTAGTTAAGATACCATTGAGAAACAAGGATGATTAGTGTATAATGTATAACATTCTAATTTAATACAACTTTTCAGTTCCCCCTAACCTTTAACCAGTCAATTAGCAACAACTTAGAACTGTGTATGTGAGTGGACAACCTTAACGAACACTACTTGAGGTAATCGTTTCTGATGATATTTCATCATAATTTCTCACTCAGCCAATCGGTTCGATTAGAAAGCCAATATAAAGTTAATGTATTCATTTGGTTCTCCCCAACCTTTAATTTTACTATAAATGAGATTAATCCATTACGAGTACAAATCTAACAGTTCTACTCAGCAGTACGCATACACAATCCCGTAAACATGACTCAAATCCAGGATATTCGGCTTTGCGCTAGAACGCTCAAATTCTAGATCCCTGGTCTGGCATCTGCCGGTGTTAATGTCTAACTTCAACCAATCGACGAAACTGCGCCACCGTCCACCATTGTCTTCAGTGAGTTATTATCTCACAACAAACACGGTTGAACTCCACTGAAAACAGCCTCTCACAAGAACTTCAGGAAATACAATGGTTTTCGGTGGCGCAATACTGTGGATTGATTGCAATTGTACATTAACAGCGTTGGATGCAGACTCAGTGGTCTAGAGGTTAAGCGTTCGTGCGCGAGACCGATAGGTACTGAATTCGCATCCCGCGGGCGAGATCATGGATGCTCACTGCTATGGAGTCCCAAACTAGGACGATTTGGCCATCCAGTGCTTCCAGGTTTTCCATGATGGTCCAACTTTGATGGACTCATGAATTCAATTAGTAAATTAAGAGAATGAATATACCGCTTCTGAACGCATTTGTACATCTATACAGCTCCAATGAATGATATAATCGATAACACTTTCCTTTGTAGAAACAACTTTGAATCATTCATAATTTTCAATCATTTTCAAATAAGTATTTTATTCTCAAATCTTTTTTTTCCTTATTTCACTTAGGTTTAAGTAAATTTGCTCGATTAGCACGTTCAGTTACACGAAATCGTTCAGTTCTGCAACAATTATCTGCATCACAAACATCAGCACAAAATTCTGCATTAACTGTATATCGTAGTAATCGACTAACAGTATGTAGTGGTGGCGGTGGTGGTGGTGGTGGTGCTGATAGTACTAGTGGTGCAATTAATGATGATACAGAAGTATCAAATCAAATGGAACAATATAATTCACCAAGTTTATCAAATTTTCAAAATTTAAACACGAGTTCAAGTTCACGATTTCATGATTCATCAAAATCCGATCCAGAAAAAGCGGTAATGGTAAGTGAACAATAAATAATAATAACAATTATAAGCCTTATTCATTATTCGATCATTGGTACAATATAGAGTTGTCAACACGAAGTATTTCAATAAGTTTCTCATTTCTTATTTCTTGATCTATCCTGATGATAACATATTGAATGATCACAAGTTGGATATTAGCATTTCAGAAGTCGACATCTGAACAATGTACTTTTTTCCGCTGCATATTATCAGCAACCACGATGTCTCTGATAAGACACTTTGTAACGTGTACAGTGAATAGGTCGCAAACTTTTCATAAACGTACTTGAGTAGGTTGTACAGTTAATTGAAATAACGACTGTTACCACACGTCGTGGAGGAGCATAGGCCGCCCATCATCACTCTCCATCCAACCTTGTCCTGGGCAATCCTTTCCACATCTATCCAGTTGTTATTCATTCTTTTCGTATCTGCTTCTATTTCCTTACCAGTTGTTTCCAGTAGCTATTGATTCTCTTCATGTCTACTTCCGATTTTTGACGCACTGCGTTGTTCGACCACTCACTTTTTCGTTTCCCTTCACGATTCCAGATAGTAAATGCTTGCCTCATGATTTAGTTTGATGATCTCCGTAATGTATGTTCTATCTACATCTAACGTCTTTTCCTAATTTCCATTTCAACTAGAAATTGTTTTTTCTGTCACTTAGTAAGCTGTTGCTGATGATATCCGGCCAACAATGGACATTCAGTATCTTACGTAGACAACTGTTTATAAATACTTGTATCTATTTGACGATGGATGTAGTAGTTCCCAAAGTTTCAGTTCCGTACAGTAGAAATGACTGTGTTGACGTTCATATTGAATATTGTGACTTTTATATTGGTTGACAGACTGTTATTTTGAGTTCTATGTATTGTGCAACCATAGGAATGCTTTTCTTACTTTATCAATCTTCACTCTTATTTCTGCATCAGATCCTCCTTGTTCATCGATGATGCTGCTGACCAGGTACGTGAAAGATTTAAGCTCTTCTAGAGTTTCTCCATCAAGTTTGATTAATTTGATGTTCTTCATGGCGTATTTCAGGATCTTTCTTCCACTCTTGTATATGCTGAGGCCCAGTGATACAGAGACTGCTATCACGCTAGTTTTCTTCCTATGCATTTGTTCGTGTGTACGGGACAGGAGATCTAGGCCAACTAACTAAATAGTTCAATTGTTAAGCATTCCCTTAAAAACTTGAAGGTTGCATGTTTGATCGCAGGAAGGATCTTGAATGCACACTATGTGCAGTCAAAAGGTTTAAGGCATCTGTTTTCTGCTCCATTGTTTTGATTTTTCAAAGTTTTAATCAGAATTTATGAGTTGAAGTGTTTGGAATTGAGACAATCAATGATGGAGTGTATTGCAAACTAGCTGAAGTAGGGAAATCTTAATTATTGGATCCTAATACATTAAGTTTAACATATCACACCCTTAAAGAAATGTATGTACCATAGTTTCCATCTGGTTAGATGTTTGAGGATATTTAGTAGGAAACCCTCCAACTATTTTTCGTTTTAGTTGATATCAATCATCGAGACGTATCTTAAATATTGTGAGAATTGTTGCTCTCTGTACGATTTGAACCAATGTCGCCCAGCTTTTAAGTCTGATATTTTACCATATATCTCCTGTAAGATTGCAATATTTACAACTGATTGATAACTGAGTACTGACCAATGTCATATCAATTAAAAGCTTTATTGATGATGTCTCAGAATGTAGAGCCAGATGAATCGGGTTAAAATCTCATAGGCACCAGAAGTAACATCAATATTCAACCCACACTTTCAGAACTTTTGTCAACCGGCAAAAAATAGGGCTTCTTGCTGATCACATCTCAATATTGTGTAAGCGATATTGAGTCACTTATACTAATGACCATAATGCAACTTGGTAGATATAAACCGTGTAGCAGTAAGGACAAACTAGACAAATATTACGTTGTGATTACTTAGTTATCAATCAGTTGTCAATATCTCATTCAACTAACTGTTTTAATCTAGTATATATTCTACCAAATCCCACTTCCTTTTCTAAAACAGTCCTCTAGCTAATGTACGAATGTGATGAAAATTTAATTCATACAACAGTGGTATTCAGGACGCGCGTTTCTTTCTATTTGAGATTCGTCAGCCGAATGTACATGTATCTTAGAGATGGTGTTCATTCTGGGACTTGAACCCAATACTATTCGCTTCATCAGCTACTGAGTCCTGATAGCTGCTTCGTTGTGCAATGTGGTGAAGGTTAAATTCACTTGGTATTGTTTACTTGATTCTACTAATTGATGTTTGGGACTGCGATTGATCAATCTGTTATTGGCGTATATGCATACTGTGCGTATTGCCTTGAACCTTGATTCGATTGTTCTTTTCAGCAACCCATTTTTTCCTCTATACACAGTAAAATAACTTTAAAGTACATATAATACCAGAAATATAATTTAGAAATTTTGTTTGAAAAACAATAGTTGAATTCATGGATCGATTAAAGATAAACCACTACGGAAAACCTGAAAGTACTGGACGGCCATTCCGTCTTAGTATGGGACTCCTCTTTGATGCTTATCCACAATCCCACTCGCAAGATTCGAAACCAGGACCTTCCGTCTCACGTGCGAGTATGTAATCTCTAGATCGCTGTTGAGAAGTCCCATACTAGGACAAAACGGCCGTTCAGTACTTTCAGGTTTTCCATAATAGTTTAGCTTTAATCGACTCATGAATTACTTACGCCTGTTACTCCCAATGGAGCATAGGCCGCTGACCAGCATTCCCCAACACATTCTGTCCTGGGCCTTCTTTTCTAGTTCCATCCAATTCTTGTTCATTTTTCTCATGTCTATCTCTATTTCTCGGCGTAATGTGTTCTTTGGTCTTCCTCTCCTCCTTTGGCCTTAAGGATTCCATGTGAGGGCTTGTCTTGTGACGCAGTTGGGTGCTTTCCTCAATATGTGTCCTATCCACTTCCAGCACTTCTTCTGATTTCTTCCTTCGCTAAGATCTTGTTTGTTCTCTCCCACAATAGGTTGTTGCTAATAGTGTCCGGCCAACGGATTCGAAGTATTTTGCGTAGACAATTGTAAATAAACACCTGTATTTTCTGGATGATGACTTTCGTGGTAATCCAGGTTTCTGCCCCATACAGTAGAACTGTCTTGACATTTGTATTGAAAATTCTGACCTTGGTGTTGGTTGACAGTTGCTTTGAGTTCCAGATGTTCTTCATTTGTAAATATGCTGCTCTTGCCTTTCCGACCCGCACCTTCACATCTGCATCAGATCCACCCTGTTCATCAATGATGCTGCCCAAATACGTAAAGGTTTTTACATCTTCCAAATCTTCTCCGTCAATTGTGATTGGATTGGTGCATTTTGTGTTGTATCGGATAATCTTGCTTTTCCCTTTGTGAATATTGAGACCTACTGCTGCTGAGGCTGCTGAATTCAACTATTAAATTACTACAATCTTCACAAAATCTCCTTTTCGATAAAGTTATGATTGTTATACATTTCAGGAAAACATGTTATTTTACAAATGAACATACTTTAATATGTGTCAATAATACTTAACTAAGCATAATATAAGTACATTATGATGCAATGTTAATAGACATAATGTCATTTAAGGAACTTCCGGGTAAATATAACTTTGAATGAATACTTACTCTTGTCGTCATGGTAACGTAATTAAGGATTTTATTTATTTAACTACCATTTTTCTTTACATCACATGCAGATACTCACTACTCTCTTAACACTTTCATGTTTACTCACTAAATATAATAAACAAGAGGAAACATTTATGATTATATTTTACCAGGTTAATTGTGTCCTTCAATAGTTTTTTCATCAAAATGGTGGATTGGGGGCGGGGAGAACTTGAACTTTTCCAGTGAATTGAACATTGAATTGTTGTATTGTAATTAGAAAAAAAGTGGGAAAATGTTCAGCTAACTGGTTTGACTATAAAAATATAGTGATTAGTGGTGGTGGTGGTGATAATGGTCGTGGTGGAGAAGATTTGTAGCTCAGATGGATGATTTTAATGGAATTTTGTTCTCTAAGTTGCATGCTTTAGTCATGGAGCTTTCATCGTTCTTCTGAACGACATCATCATTAGTACAAACTTCAGGTAGAAGTGTAATGTTCGAAGCTCTCTATATATATGGTTCACAGCTTGTCATGACAGGTTCAAGGTCAACAAGAACCAATCAACATCGAAGTTTACAGGACAAACTGTGAGCCGTATGTAAAGGAATTCGAACACTTCACTTCTACCTGAAGTTTGTATTGATGATATTGTCGTTCAGCATAACGATGAAACTTCCACAACCATACCATCTAGCTGAAAGAACAAAACTCCATCAAAATAATGATTGGTACATTCGATACTGTTCTTTATTGAGATAAATTATGAACATAATTTTTGAACAACATTGTCCTTAAGTATATTAGAATATAATTATTATGTGTATATTTCATTAATGATAAAGACTTTAGTTTGATTTTGTAACTCAAATACGTTTGTTTATTTATATCTTTAAAAAAATGTTTGTACTTATCAGTCACATATAATTCAATGAGGTAAACTTCCATCCATTCATTAACTGGAACACTTTTGTTTTAAAATGTGATATTTTGTGGTGGGGGGGTGTTAATAACATGTTAACTAGCGACCAACTATAATGTACTTAAAAGATGGTGGTTGGAAGTAGTCAACAGGAAAACCTGGACTTAAGTTTCGTGTTACGTGGTGGTAAGGATCCAATCTATAAGGGAGTATCAGTTCCCTCATAATTACAGGTACACATTGCTGACGAGTGCCAAGTATCACGAAACCTAGGTCTAAAGTTTCCTGTTGACTACCTCCAACCATCATCTTATCTCAACATAATGCACTCAATGTCGAGTCACCTAGATTGTTGGCCACATTGCAACTTGATTGATAGGATTTGATCTGCACTCAGAAAGTGCTGACATACTTGACATTGATCACCACTTAGTGATTAATTATTTGTAAGTGTACCTTAAATTCTATTACACAGCCAAACCTAATTCATATAACTTATTGAGTAGTGGGTAGTAGTGGAATCTATTCCATGTATTTGATTATTTTGTTTGTGACATATTAACTATTGAAAAGCAAGAAGTAATGGATAGTTTATTAGCGGCCCCTTATCTAACTCCAATTAGATCGTACATGTCGTCAATCCTTGTATAGAAACTATCGACTTAACTTGCGTTGGGGAGTAATGGAATTAAATAAGTCAAATACAAGAATGAATTCCGAATACATATATTTTGTTCACTTATTGATTTGGACAGACAATCACAGGAACGTAGCGAATAGAAGAGAGTAGAGAGAAATGATGCACGTTGGAGAAGGTGTGTGAGCCAACTCGATTTCATCAAGCGTTAATTAACATTTATAGTTACAGACTTGTGATGAATGGGATAAGAATGGTACACATATACATTTACATAATAACAGTCAAGGCTGATAAGCGAACAATTAACAAGGACATAACGTGACTCTAGAAGAATAGATAAATTGGTCTGTTCAGAAGCTAGAATAAGCTATATGGACTTAACGTAGTAACTAACACTACAACTTATTCACATTAGGACGTTACTCATCAACAGAGCTCAGTAATAAACGCACAAAGGAATAAACACGGAATTTTTCAATTTCAAATTGAGCGGTTAATCTCTAAACAACAAATCTAATTTTTACCAGATTACATACTTAACTTCTATCAGTCCTATTAGCGATATTACACAATTACCTCACTATCAGTCTATGTAATAACCTGCAGCAATTTGGAAGACTCACTCGGTTTCCCATATTGTACGCGTATTCCATGTATCTAAATTAATGGTTGATGTGGTTGTCAGAAGGGGCATCAGTGTCGTGACTTTCGAAGGAAGTTGGCTTTCACCATGAAGCATCATAGCTCTTCTGAATAAAGATCTTCTAACTCCCAGGGCACAATTTATATGATTTGAATTATTTTTTTTCTGGTTATGGTTTTTTAGCAAGTTATTTTTCTACGTGATGGCGTCACTCACTCCATGCCCAACCTCCCTCCTTCATCCAGACTTGTGACCGGCAGTAGCCTTAGAGGGTGGGTTCCCGGTGGATTTATGTGATATTCTACATAAACCTTATATAAGACTATATTTTCCATAAATAATTCATTTTAAATTATGCAAAAATTTTACAAAACTTAATCTCCGCTTTCTCTTTTTTTTCTTTTTCTTCTTCTTCTTCTTCTTCAATATTGTATTCCCCTTCTCCTTCCCCCTCTCCCAATAATAGTCAACTTCATCATGGTTGGATTTAGTTCCACAATATAAACAAGAAGCACCAAAAACTCCACCACATATTATATTACATTATGTGGCATTTAAAACAACATGGGATTGGTTAATATTATTTTTAACTGGTTATACAGCAGTAATGGTACCATTTAATGCAGCATTTAAAAGTAAAACAATGGATGATGTTAGTTTATTAGTTGTCGACAGTATTGTTGATGTAATATTTTTTATAGATATTGTATTAAATTTTCATACAACATTTGTTGGACCAAATGGTGAAGTTATATCAGATGCTACTATTATACGAATTAATTATTTAAAAGGATGGTTTATTGTAGATGTATTATCATGTTTACCATATGATGTATTTAATGCATTTCAACCGGAAGCAACACAAGTAAGTTGATTGAAATCAATGTATATATATATATATATATCAATATGTGTGTATCTTTATTGATTGATCGATATGTGCCATACGAATCACTTGATTTGTGTGTAGGATGTGATACCAATCAGGAACCTAAACCGAAGCAGGTGGTTTTCTTAGAGGGCCACATTCCGAACCTTCGATCTAAAGGTCTCATCCACAAGGCAGTGGAACAACATAAGGAGATGTAGTCCTATGATAGCTGGTCATCAACGATTGATTCATATGCGATCCTGAAGCCCTTGTGCATCATTGGTTTAGAATCAGGGTATTCCAACTCCTCGAAGTGAACTCTCCCTGTCCATCAAGTCGGTTAAGGCGTTGGACATTCACTTTTCGTCCTCTTAATTTTTTAAACAACAGTAATTCTATGAGAAGGTAGTGAGTAGAACTTCCCTGATAGTGGTTGTATGCACGTGGCTATGCGAAAGCGATTGGAGAGATAGTTCTGACTCTCCCTGTCCTTACTACAATCATAAATTGTTTAACACATTTAAGATTAATATAAAGAAAATACCTTTGTTATGTAATAATTATATCAGTTGTAATATTATAAGTGTTATATTAATAATCACTGTATTGAATTGATTCATTCTATTGACTTTCTTCTTGTTACTATAATGCATTAAATACAATATGAAAACTATTACACTGTTTGTAAAATATGTTTTTTTTTCTTCATTATAAATGATATCGGTTGTTAAGAGGAAATTTTATCGTTTAATAATAGTCATTATCTAATGCATAAACTCTCTCTTAACCACCCACCCACCTACTCATCCATACACACATACATACATACATGATGTTTGGTCTAACACAGCAACAAGATATGCTTCATAGTTGAAAAGAAACATAGTCTTAGAAAATAGTAACTAAGGTATTTATAAAATAGGCAGAGATGAATGAAGTAGTAATGATTATCTATAACATTAAGAAGAATCATGTATAATCTGAAGATATATCTTTAGGACTCCACTCCATTAAGCAAGATTATTGTGATCCTACTGATCGATTCTAGATTGGAAAACATCACAGTATAAAATGGTCACCATTTTTTTTTCTTACATTTTCTGATTTAGAGTCAAATCTACACAAACCCCTTCTGATAATAATCGTCTGCTCACTAGTGACTGACTTCAAGAGATACTCCTGGAGTTCTAGTGGGAAGCCGTTACCAGTGGAGTTCAACCAGGTCTGTTGTGAGATATCAGCTCACTGAAGACAATGGTGTACGGTGGCACAACTTCGTGGATTGGTTGAAGTTAGACATTAACACCGTTGGATGCCGGCTCAGTGGTCTAATGGTTAAGTGCTCGCGCGCGAAGCCAGTAGGTCCTGGATGCGCACTGCTGAGGAGTCCCATACTGGGACGGGACGGCCGTCCAGTGCCTTCAGGTTTTCCATGGTGGTCTAGCTCCAACTGACTCATGATTTCAATCTGTGAAAATTTCTAAAATCTCCACAAACCCCTTCTGAAAATAACTTTCTCTCAGAAAAACTGAAATGTGTAAGCTTAGAGCTAGGTTGTCTGAATAAATGCATTATCCATTCAAATGTTTGTAACTAGATTAGGTGTCACTACTATGTCAAAGATTCTCTACATGAACATATTTTACCTTAGCTTTTAGTAAACCTAGATAGGTCATTGCTACCACATTATCACTAGCATTCAGTAAGCTATTCAAATACACATACATATATATCGCAACCGTTTCTATCCGACCAGTAACATGAGTGTGTATTTGTGAAGCATATTAAAAAGTACACCTCATATTTACCTTTAGTTAGTTCTAATAACATAAATCACTATGATTTTCATATGTACCTAAATTAATGGTTGATCTGGTTGTCAGAAGGGACATCAATGTCGTGATTTCCGAAAAAAAACTTGGTTCTCACCAATGAAGCGTCATAACTCTTCTTAATAAAGATTATCTTGTAGTGTGGTGTAGAGTCACGGTTGAATATGATCACCACTACATGAATGTTGCGTACCAAATATCAGAAGGCGATTAAACGTTGTAACGAGATATATTTGTTGACGATCTCGTAGTATCAAAAAAGTACCAAAATCGTGCCAGGTTACAAGTGTGGTTACTGAGCGTAATCGAATTCGTGCAAGGTCACAATCAACGGAAGAATGAATGTATTTTGGTACAGTTAAACAAACGAGCACAGTAGAAGATTCATTGCTACAATTGGTTATAATAATAATTGTTTCCATTACACTAATCGCATTCTCTTGATAAAAGCAGGTCAATACAATCTAACTCTCAGTGCACAATTTAAATGATTGTTGTGGATGCGGAGGAATAGACCAGTAATTATCATGTTAAGTCCAATGGTGTCCTTGGACTTTAAATGGACATTTCCTATTGATCGATATCTGTTCACTTGTTGAATATTGTACAAAGTGTTGTTTTCTATTTTATAGTACGATGTGGTATGCTTGATTGGTATATAAACAAAGTATGTTTGAAATATAATGATTCATATCTCCGAGGCTGTGACTTGTGTTCTGGACTCAACTGACTGGGCTAGACAGGGAAGCGAGACCAATCGAGACTCTAGGCCGTCCGTACGTGTTTACGTGTCACTGTAATCGATCGATAATTACGCTGCTCTCTAATTTTCCAGTCAAGGACACAACAATTAGCACAGGGTAAAAATCGACCCAACTTAAAGTCATAACAATGATTTGAATTATTTTTTTCTGGTTATCGTTTTTTAGCGAGTTATTTTTGTCTATGGAATGGGGTCACTAACCTCATACACAACCCTCTCCTTTTTCTGAGCTTCAAACGGCCAGTAGCCTCAGAGAGTGACTTCCTGGTAGAGTTATGAATTTATTTTCATCATGTTTTCCCTTCACAAAAACGATTTTTTTTTCTTTTATTTCTTTATTTCATTGAAATATACAGAGTACAATTAGTTCCTTATTTGGTGCATTAAAAGTTGTACGTTTATTACGTATTGGTCGTGTTACACGTAAATTAGATCAATATTTGGAATATATGGCAGCTAGTTTATTATTAATGATATCTGGTTTTGTTTTATTGGCTCATTGGTTAGCATGTGTATGGTATAGTGTTGGTCAAACTGATTTAAAAAATGGTATTTATTATGGTTGGATACCAAGATTATTAAATGATATTGATCAAGGTAAAACTACTCCAACTAATTGGACTAGTGGTGTAAGTTATTTATTTATTATTAATCATGAATTGTTTATTGAATACATTGAAACACTGAACGACTGTTTCGTCCTACTATGGGACTCTTCTTTAACAGTGCGCATTCATGATCTCGCCTCGTGAGATTTGAACCTAAGACTTATCAGTCTCGTGGATGTGCACTGTTTAGGAGTCACAGAATAGGATGAAATGGCCGTCCAGTCCATTCAGTTTTTTCATGGTGGTCTAAGTTCAATTGAATCATGATCTCAACTATTAAAATTAATATAATCTCCACGAAAACCCCTTCTGAACATATGAAGTTTAAATGTTGGCGAAATAACAAAATATACTACAATCTTATATTCTCTAAAGATCCATTGGATAGCAGTTGGTTTTCTTGTTCTACACAAATGAGACGTTAATTTACCATGGACGAATATCTACACTAGATTCTCATTTCCTCCCAGTGTCTATTCTACAGGACTTCAATACAACTAAGATCAAGAACAGATGATTACCGTGACTATAATGTAAATATATTTCCACACTAAAAACCGAAAACAATCTAATAACAATCAATGATTATCATTCTCGTTCACATATCAATCTCTTTCACAAAACATTTTATCAACGAGTTCCTTGAACTGAAGAAGTTTCACGTTGAATATAAAACTACCAGTCTGTTGAATGTTCCATATTCCCTACTTTTATTAGCTAATGAATCGTTATTTCAGTTTGAATTGAGTTAATCTCAATTGACATTAGTTTATAATACACAGTATTCTTCGGTGATATAAACGTTTCATCTCCGCTAACTAAAAGGGGGAAGTTCAACTTCAGAAGAGGGGATGTATTCCATAACCAGACAAAAGCACGAACAACAACAAGCAAAACTCAACCATGGTGGAGAAGATTTGTAGTTCAGGTAGAAGTTTGTGCTGATCATGTCGTTCAGAAGAACGATGAAAGCTCCACGACCAAACCATCCAGCTCAGAGAACAAAAACTCCACCAAAAAGCTCAACCATTTATATACAGTATAAAAATGTCTTTAAGAAATATTACAAAATAAATATATTAAAAGAGACAACGAACTAATCATATTTAAAGTTCTCTTAAGCGGGAAATACGATATAAAAGTGGAAATGGGTGCTTTTGGCGCCAAAACAAGAAATTTAAATTTTCAAAATAAAATTACAACAATAAGGTATTTACCAAGTGAGTTCTGGAGTTCTAACAAATTGGCAAACATAGATGCTTGAATGAAAATCTCATTGACTTGAATGGAAACATAAGAATTCTGAGTATAACTGAAGTGTTTCTTTAAAAAGTATAGAGAAATTTACTGAGAAAATCACTGTAAAAGAAAGCAATAAATGATTAACTTTCAACAGCCTTATGAATTCCGAGTGGGTGGTTCACACCCCAAGACTTCGACCTAAAGGTCTGATCCACAAGATAATGGAACAACGTAAAGAGATCTAATCCCATGTGTAGTCGGTCACTAATAATTGGTTTATACGCCATTTGTTCCTTCAGGATCCTAGAGCTCATGTACACCAATGGTTTGGAATCAGTATTTCCCAAATCCCCTACATGGATCCTCCATATCCACCAAACCGGTTAAAGTGTTAGACATTCAGTTTTTGTTCTTTCAATTTCGTAAACAATAGTAATTTCACAAGAAGTTGATGAGTAGAACTTTCCTTGTATTGGCTTTATAAGCATAGCTATATGAGAACATTTCGAGAAGGAGAACGGATTCATCCTACCTTCAGTCATATCAGAGCATTTAGTAAATTATCTAATCATAGTCATTATCTTACAAATTCTTTAAAATACATTTAACTCCAGTTTCTTTGCTTGTTACCAAACAACGGTGATAATTAACTTATATATATATATATATTATCTTTTTTTTCCCCTAAAGACAAAACTCTATTTGATCTAATCATGTACATACACACACACACACACCCCTATTGCTAAAATTTGTTTATTCATAAATTATTAATTATTGTTTTAACCTTAAACAACAAAAGAACAAAACTGAACTCCTTTTTCGGGATATCTCGTGACTAATAATGAACAATGTTCCATATGTCTTATATAAATAGATGGGAATTATCTAAATTGAATTATATATTGACTTGTATTGGCTTGTATTGGCTTAATGACCTTAATTCTAATAAATATTAATAAAATATGTCAACTACAATTTGTACCAAAATATACCATAGAATTGAAGGTCTCTTATTCATCAATTAATCATGTCTAAATAAGACAAATTCCTTCTTCTTCTTCTTCTTCTTCTTCTTCTTCTTCTTCTTCTCCTTGGTCTTCTCCTTGTTCTTATTCTTCATTGTTTGAATAAGTTTTGTAGTTTACATCAAGTAATTGGTTTGATTAGAGAATTACAATACAAAACAAACAACAACAAACTATTTATCTCAATATAAAACGATTTAGAAGTGGATATATATATATATATATATATATATATATATATATATATATATATATATATATATATATATATATATATATATACGATCATAAGTGTAGGATTAAACTTGGAAAATATTGAGATAAATCTTAGGAAAAGCGGCGAGAATCTAATTTATGGACGATCTTTGAACGACTCTTAAGTGGCCTTTATGAATATTAGCCAATCAGCAAACAGTCAGTATAGAATAAAAATATGCTATACAAAATCGAGAAAATAAGTGGATACACATCTTATACGTGGTTCAAAAACTTGTCAATGTTAGAAACAGGTTCACAGGTTCTAAAATCGTAATGCATACAGTAGAGGAAATCATTTATACGACTACAGAATGGTCGGTATCTGGAGCCGTGATAAATTCTCAAAAACTCTTTCAGCCTCGAACACATAGTTCAATATTGTTTATCTGCACTCCGGTTGTTGAGTGCACAAAATGGTACTTGTGGATAACGACACGATGCACATAACCAAGCCTATGTAGGAGTCTGTACGCTCTCCAAACATCTGAATATATTGTAGTACCTGGCTGCAACCGGTGTTACGGGTGCTTTTATTATCCAGTTCGCAATAATTGTCGTACTTTGCCTTAGTTAGGAATTATATATGGGGTTTTCATCACGAACTGACACCAGCTATGATGCCAGAAATTTATGTAGCCAAATGGATAAAAGGCTTTCGCGTTAAAACCCGAAATCTATTATCTTGTACCTGATTGATTCGTCCACAAATTATAGTCTCGCCATTTGATTTGTTATAGCCGCTCAATTATCACATTTTGTACAAAATTCCCTGTGAACCGATCGTACGTTGGCATTAAGCACTGAAGTTGGCGCCGTAACCTTGAAATCTCTAAAACGCTTGTGATTGGTTCGTCCATAAATTACAGTCTCGCCGGAAAAGCATTTAAGTTATTGGTTGAGAACATAAACCGATTGATGTTAGACCACAATTGAAAACCTGGAATTCTCGAAGTTTTAGTAAGAAGCAATGATCAATGGAACTAATCCGTGTCACGTAAAGACAGGTATCTATCTTAATACGATGGAAGATGATAGCGCAATTTCATGGATTAGTTGAGGTTACACATTAAAATTGTTGGATGCCGACTCAGTGGTCTAGAGGTTAAGCGTCCGTGCGCGAGACTGAAAGCCCTGTGTTTGAATCCTGTGAATAGGATCGTGGATGAGTACTGCTGACGAGTCCCACAATAGGATGAAACAGCCATCTAGTGCTTCTAGGTTTTCAATAGTGATCTAGCATCAGTCGGTTCATGATCTCAATTAATAACTTAATAATCTTCACAACCTTGTACGTAATCAATCGGAATGATTAATTCAATGAAGAGTTTCTGTTTTCGGTGAATACATTTTTAAAGCTGTACAGCTTTGAAAATGATCTTTACGAAATGTTAAATTCCAATAACAGGATGAGTGAACGAATAGAATCGATAACATTTTATGCATGACGTTTAATAAGAAAAAGTTCAGATTGGATAAATATGGTTTCTTTGAAGAATTTTCCAGTAGTATTTAGGATATTTGTATATGTTAACTCAATCCTGAAGAAAGATAACCTTCGCATTCACTTCTACACGTTTGATAGAATAACACAGAAACTGATTAAGTTCCTTTACTGTGTAACTTTGAAAATGAATTCGCCGAAAACGGAACTCTTCGAAATGATGGAGAAGATTTCTAGCTCAGTTGGATGATTTTGACAGAGTTTTATTCTTTGAGGTGTTCTATTGTTGATTGAAATTATGAACTGATTGATGTTAGACCACCATTGGAAACCTGGAAGCACTGGATGGACGTTTCATCCTATTGTGGGACTCCTTAGTAATGGGCATCCATGATCCCGCTTGTGCGATTCTATTGTTTGAACATGATTAAGCCATCCAGCTCCGAGAGCAAAACTCCATCAAAGAGAACTCTTCACTGAACTAATCTTTCTTATTTAATTTCTTAATGGGTATATACTGTTTATTTAATTAATCAACATGGATAAACTAACTATCCTTATAAGATATCTTATTATTATTGTGATTATTTAGAATCCACCACTGCCACGTACAATGACTTATGTAACATCATTATACTTTACATTATCATTAATTACAAGTATTGGTTTTGGTAATGTATCAGCGACAACATTTGGTGAAAAATTAGTTGCAGCGGTTTTTATGCTTATTGGAGGTAAGTTTTAAATTTACAAAATGATGAAAAATCTATAGTCTATTTATTAGTTAAATTGATTATTTAATGTAATCTAGAATATCATTGAAAACCTGAAAGCACTAGACGGACGTCTCGTTCTAGTATGGGACTATTCAGAAGTGTACATCCATGACCCCACGCAGTCTTGCATGCGAACGCTTAGGCTCTAGACGATTGGGTCGATATTCAACAGTGTTAATGTCTAACTTCAACCAATTCAAAAAACTGTGCCACTATCCACCATTGTCTTCAATGAGTTACTATCTCATAACAGACAAGGTTGAACTTGCATTGTCGGTTATTATGATAAGCCCATATGCGTTACTCTAGCTTATTCATTCTAATTGAGTCATATTTTGACCTTATTAATTGTTCGCTTATCAGTCTTTACTGTCTTTATATGATCACATATGTGTGTGCCCTTATTATCCCGTTCATCACACATCTGTAACCTATTTTTATCTGACTATAAATATTGATTAACGTTGTGTCAAATGGGAGTTGGCTTACCCACCATCTCGATTGCGCGTCGTTTCGCTTCTCTCTATTCCATTCGCTTGTTACTTGACTTATTTGATTTCATAATTGACTAACGCGATTTAAATCGATGAGTACATAAGAGGATAGGCGATAACAAACATTCATATGACCGAATTGGAGTCAGATCCTGGGCCACTAAAGTGGAGAGCTCGTCAACAAAAATCATCCGATCTAAATGACGACAAAATAAAGGGCCCCACTAAAAACTCCACTGGTCACGATTTCTTACTAGAACTCCAGAAAAATACCTTCTTGAAATCATTCAGTAGTGAGCGCATGATGATTATTATCAGATTGGTGGTTTGTGGAGACTGTAGTAATCTTAATGGTTGAATTCATTAGTCGATTAAAGCTAGACCACTATGAAAAAACCTGTTAGCACTAGATGACCGTCTCGCCCTAGAATAGGACTCCTCATTAGTGTATATCCACGAACCTTCATCCGGGATTCGAACCAAATACCTTCGGTCTCATGCGCACTAACGCTTAACTTCTAGACCACAGAATCGGCATCTATTTAAGCTCGTTTATTGATAGTTAATTTATTGAAGAATATTTAGCTAATTCAGTATAATTTCAAACAGATTTGAGACATTTTAGTAGTATTTTATGGTTCATATAATTTGTATGAATATTATGACAGACATTCGCTGAATCTCAATAGTTTATATTACCGATAGTCTTTAGTTAGACAATCAGGAAGCATCAGAAAACAATGGACAAATATTTTTTCTTAGTATGGGATATCATAGTTAGACATATCTATAGTCTAACTAGAAGTTCTTTTGCTTTTAAACCTTTTCATTTATATTAGATATCGTCGGTGGTTTATAGATCCGAACGTATATTCCAGCAATATCTATTTCGTGATATCCTAACAGGTGGAGATTTGCATTTCTAAAACTTTATGTCTTAATATCAATCACTTATTGGGTTAGTGATATCTCCCGACAAGAATAATAAATGGTGGTAACTGTTGAGATGGATTTATGGACTAATACAATACACATATTTTTATTGTATCATTGTTATGCAACTAAACTATTTGCATATTCATATTCCTCTTATTATGAGCATCCATTTGATCTATAGAATACGACGATATGATTTACCATTCTTGAGTTGTGCCCAGTTTATTGATTACAGTCTCCTACATTCACAGTCACTTTTGGCTTGATATTGTACAAATGTCATTTGATGTGGTTTGGTTAGCTGGTATATAAACCCAGTATATTTGAAATACATGATTCGTATCGCGAAGGCTGAGATCGGTGTTGTAGCCTCTAACAACCAAGGCTAGGCAGGACCCAAGGACTGATAAGGACTTTATATCGTTCGTACGGGTTTTCATGAGGCATTGGTTCAATTGATAAATCACTGTTTCACTAATCGACAATACCATTACGTCATATATTGACTGGGTCACAAGACCCACAAATTCTAAGAATTCAGTAATCATTTCTTGTTTATAGCGAGACTCTAATTTGTGGACGACCTTTGAACGGACCTTCAGTGACCTTAAGAAATATTAATCAATCAGCAAACAGTAAGTATAGAGTAAAATTATACTATACAAAACCAAGGAAATAAAGTGGATACAATTCTTATAAGTGTAATTCGTCCACAAATTATAGTCCCACCATTTGATTTGTTATAGCTGTTCAATTATCACATTTTGTACAAAATTCCCTGTGAATCGATCGTACGTTAACATTAAGCATTGAAGTTGGCGCCGTAACCTTGAAATCTCTAAAATGTTTCTGATTGGTTCGTCCGTAAATTAAAGTCTCGCCCTTGTTTATTACTCGTTATCAAATTCTATTTAACAATTATGTCAATGTTGTGATATTTTACATTGATCAACTTACAGAGAAACCCTGAATTCTTATTTACTTCATTCATCATGACTTTTCTTTTTCTTCTTTTTTTTTGTTTGTTTGTTAATAAACAAGCATTTGGTTATGCTACCATATTTGGTAATGTGACAACAATATTTCAAGGAATGTATGCAACACGTTCTAGATATCATGATATGATGGCATCTGTGAAAGATTTTATTAAAACACATAGTGTACCAAAAGATTTAGCTGAACGTGTTATTGATTATGTGACATCAACATGGGCTATTACTAAAGGAATTGATACAGCTAAAGTAAGAATATTATTTACATTTTGTCTTGTAACTAATCTCTGAGTTTTTTATTTACAAGTAGTAAGATTAAAAATATAAGAACTAGGAACTATTAGTTAAGTAGAGGTGGATAGTGTCTAGCAGTGGAATCCAGGATGCACATTTCGTCGTATTTGGGACTCTTCTGCCGGATGCACCTACATCTCAGAGTTGATGTTCACTCCGGGACTCGAATCCACTACCGTTCTCTTCAAACGCCATCGCGTTATCCACTTAGCTACTAAGTCCTGATAGCCACCTGCCACCTGAAGAGTCCCAAATAGGACGAAATGTGAGTCCTCGATTCCATTGCCAGCCACTATCCATCTTTGCTTAAAAATCTTGTGACTTAAGGCAATCTCGAGGCAATCCGCACTGGATGCACATATGCCAACACGAGAATGATCAGTTGCAGTCCTAAATAACAATGGGGAGATACAAGTAAAACAACACCAAGTGAATTTGAACTATTAGTTAGTTGTGATGGAGTTTTGTTCTTTGAGTTAGATGGTTTGGTTTTAGAGCTTTCATTACTCTTCTGAACGACATCATCAGTACAAACTTCAAGTAGAAGTGAAGGTTTTGATTGAGATCATGAACCAACTGATGTCAGATCACCATTGAAAACCTGGAAACACTTGACAACTGTTTCGTCCTATTGTGCGACTCCTCAGAAGTGCGCATCCACGAATCGCTCGCAGGATTCGAACCCAGGGATTAGAGTCTCGCACGCGAACACTTAACCTCTAGACCACTGAGCTGGCCGTCATCGAACAGTGTTAATCTCGAACCTTAACCAATCCACGAAATCGCGTGACCATCTTTAATTGTATTGAGGTAGGTACCTGTTTCTACCCGAATTGTTTGAATTTCTTCACATATGGCTCACAGCTTGTCCTGTAGACTTCGATGTTGATTAGTTCTTGTTGACCTTAAACCTGTCATGACAAGCTGTGAGCCCTAATATAGAGAGATTCGAACACCATATCACTATTAGTTAGTTGTTTTGCCTTAGTATTAATTAGCATTTGCTAACTGTATGATTAAAATCAGGAACAAGACTTTAACTACTTTTCTTTCAGTATCATTGAATTAAGCTGAAATAAGTTCTTGTAATATATGTGGGAAAGTAAACTTTGACTGTGGTCAATTTGTTAGTTCTACACGGTACATTCATCATAGGAATTTTTATCTTATGTGACCACAGACAGAGAGTGAGGGTCAATGGAACGCTATCCGAATGGAAGCCAATCAAAAGTGGTTTACCCCAAGGCACCATCTTAGGCTCTCTACTTTTACTTCTCTAAGTTAATGAATTACCGCTATTGCTTAAGTCGTCGACATCACTGTTTGAGGATGATGTAAATATCTGGAGAACAATAAGAAGCGAGGCTAATCATTTTGATTTCCAAGCTCACTTGGATGAATTAGTTAGATGGACTTGAGGTTGGGGCTTACAAGTTAATTCTAGGAAGAGTGTGCTGATGCACAACGGACACGGTAATAGTTACCATTATACCATTGATGGAACATTTCTTCCACGCGTTCAAGAACATAAAAACTTAGGAGTAATAATAAATCATAACTTGAAAACAACTACGCATTTCAACGTAGCTGCTGTCAAATGTTTACGTGAGTTGTGGTCACTTCGCTGAGTGCTCAAATCTTTTGACGAGGAAACGTTTCGAATTTTATATCCCACCTATGTAAGAGCACATTAAGAGTACTGCATCTAAGCAGCTAGCCCATGTCTGATAAAGAATACTAACTCACTTGAGCGTATTCAACGTGTGGGAACGAAATTAGTGAAGGGTCTTTCTAAACTCCTTTACGATGTGCGCTTAAAACGCCTAGACCTTTTCCCCTTTTCGTATCGTAGGATGCGAGGTGACCTTATACTGGCATTTCGTATCTTTAATTATGATTTGAGTGTTAATATGTCTTATCGTTCTGATCCTTCTAGCACTAATAATCTCCGAGACCATAGGAAGAAGGTTTACAAACGGCGATCTAATAAATTTAAGGTGGGGTCCTGTTTTTCTCATCAAGTGTTCGATGACTGGAATGCCTTGCCCAAACAAGTGGTATCAGACCTATCAGTGAATATTCCCGAGGAGAAGCTGGACCTTCACTGGAAGGTAATCTGTTAGGATTAACATAGGTTCACCAACCTACTATCCTTACTACTGAAGACTGATTAGTTAGGCTAGTATTGAATAAGCGAATTCAGAATAATCTACCAGCAATGAACGTCTTCATAAGTACATGTTAGATCTATCGAAACGTCTAGGTCAGACAACTGAGATACGCGCGAAACCGAAGTTTCAAAACAACGATTTGTCTACAATAGCGGTTCTTTATTGAATAATACACTAAATTTAGTTACAAACCTCAACTTTTGAGGTGTCTGGGGCTTTTAAATGCGTCCTTCAAGTATGAACGTAAAAACGCTTCCTGTAACGGTAACATAAAGAATAATTATAACATACGATAGTACAAAAGACAGCTGATAGCTGTATCTATATTTGATAACAGTTTATGAATAACCGAAACCCGAACCAAGAGCAAAACAATAAGGAAACTGTTGAGTTTAAACGAATGCACGAAACTGTGGATAACCGCTTCAATGATTAAGGTACAGTAATTAAAATGACAAATACAATGATAAGCACAATAAACGTAATAAATATATGTGAACATTTTAAAATATTACACCACAACTTGCGTTACAACATAGGTTTAAAAATTGTTTGGAACACAACTGCTTACTGAAGGTAAATAAGTAGTACAAAACAATATACAAAAGAAAGGAAAGGGAGCTAGTGGAACAATCTAAGACAAACTTAACAGTACATGTTAGTCAAACTTCCTCTATGAAGATAACTACATAGAACTTAGTCAACATTTTACATCTTTGTGTGTTATAGTTTCTCAGTAATCACATATGCATGCACAGTACCAGAGGAGAGGAATGATGTTATGTCAACTAGATATCGGCTAAGTTTCAATGTTAATATTCACTATGTCAATTTACCTATCATCTATTCGTCTAAATTGTTATACATTATCCATCAAACTCGGTGTAGCAGCAGCCTCAGCAGCAGTATGTCTCAATATACACAAAGGGAAAAGCAACATTCTCCGATACAACACAGCATGCACCAATCCAATCACAATTGACGGCGAAGATTTGGAAGACCTAAAAACATTCACATATCTGGGCAGCATCATTGATGAACAGGGTGGATCTGATGCAGATGTGAAGGCGCGGATCGGCAAAGCAAGAAAAACATATTCACAACTGAAGAATATCTGGAACTCAAAACAAATGTCAACCAACACTAAGGTCAGAATTTTCAATGCAAATGTCGAGGCAGTTCTATTGTATTGGGCGAAAACTTGAAGAAGTACGAAAGCCATCATCCAGAAGATACAAGTGTTTATTAACAGTTGTCTACACAAAATGCTTCTGATCCCTTGGCCAGACACCATTAGTAATAACCTATTGTGGGAGAGAACAAACAAGATCTTAGCGAAGGAAAAAATCAGGAAGAAGTGCTGAAAGTGGATAGGACACATATTGAGGAAAGCACCCAACTGCGTCACAAGACAAGCCCTCACATGGAATCCTCATGGTAAAAAGAAAAAAAGACGATCAAAGAACACATTACGTCGAGAAACGGAGACAGACATGAGAAGAATGAACAACAATTGGTCAGAACTGGGAAGGAAGGCCCAGGACAGAGTGGGTTGGAGAATGCTGGTGGGCAGCCTTTGCTCCATTGGGAGTAACAGTTGTAAGTAAGTAAGTAAGTAATTCATCAAACTACTGATTATCTACTACACTAAAGAAATGTATGTTGTTTTTGCTTTTTGTTTTTCCTTCTATTAGGTATTAAATTATTGTCCAAAAGATATGAAAGCTGATTTATGTATACATTTAAATCGTATGGTATTTAATGAACATCCAGCATTTCGTTTAGCTAGTGATGGGTGTTTAAGAGCATTAGCTGTAAATTTTAATACAATACATACAGCACCAGGAGATTTAATATTTCATCAAGGTGAAAGTATTGATCAATTATGTTTTGTTGTTTCTGGTTCATTAGAAGTTATTCAAGATGATGAAATAGTTGCATTTTTAGGTAAGTTGTGTAAATTAGGATAATAATAATAATAAATTTCAATAGTTGGAAGCATGAGCCAATTGAAGCCAGACCATTATTGGAAAACCCGAAAACACTGGACAGCCGTTTCGTCCTACTGTGAGACTCCACCTTAGCAGTGTGCACCCACGATCCCGCCTCGCGTGATTCGAACCAGAGACATATCGATCTCACTCACGAGCGCTTAACCTCTGGACCATTGAATCGGCATCCATTGGTGTCAATGTCTAACTTCAACTAATCCACGAAATTGAGCGTCACATCTATTATCCTCAACAGTGCGCATCCACGATGCATACATGAGACTGATAGGCACTGGGTTTGGATCACGCGAGGCGGGATTGTGAATGCACACTGCTGAGGAGTCCCGTACTAGAACGAAACGTCCATCTAGTATTTTCAGGTTTTCCATGATGCTCTAGCTTCAAATGACTCATGATCTCAACTACTGAAATTACTATAATATCTACAAAGACTCGTAATCTTGAAATGAAACGAGAGACGTTTCTTAATATACAGATAGTATATTTTCCTATCATTCGATTCGTCTTTAAAACATGACAGTATACAGAATATCATGCTAGCCTATGAGAAAAGGAATCTGGGTTCACTTAAGCCAATAGGTTCGAAGAAAAAGCGACAGAACAGAACATTTGCAGTTCTTTCACATTTCCATCTACCATAATACAAATGTCATGAATTAAGGTTTTTATTTGACAGCACTTAGCCTATTCACACTATAGATTAAACTTATGACTGAAATATTATTACTAAGTAGGTGATGAACAAAATTTATAAATCTATGTAGAAAACAGGTAGCATCTAAACATCATCATCTATTCCATCTAAATGGTCATTGTTGATATCATGGTACTAAACTGAATAAAGTGGAGCAATACAAATGTATCAGTAGTGATAGGTTCCTCTCTATTTCATAAATCATCACTCATCAACATAAGAAGTAGTAATCAAGTTATACATACTTACGTGTTAGAAAATGTGTCTAAACGGTTTGAAATTCTCTTGGATTTCATGTATTAAATAAATAGATGTAGTATGTAGTTACATTCTACTATAACTAAACAAAAGATTGAGGCACATCCATCTTTCGGTTTCTTAAACATTTAGGCATTAGGAATCGAGGCCTACATTTTCTTCTATTCAAATATAACTCGTTCCACCTTTAACTTACTCAGATAATCCTTCGTTCCTTCCCACTATCAAAAATGGTGTCGAAATCTTTTGACGTTATACCGTATATGTTTAGCAAAGTAAGCAAATCAAGCAGGTCATACATGTAAACCAGCATGAGTTCTGTATTACTCAGACAGACTTAATCTTCTTATTATGTTCCCTACAAATGTAATATCCGTGAATTGTTTGATGTATTTTTAGAATCGGAAATATTTTAGCAAATAACGTTGAGCTACTTGTAAGTAGTCAAACTTTAAAAAGAGAAAAACTGTGCAATTCATTTTAATATCCAATATTATTCTTGTAAATAGAGTAAACGATTGGTGATATAACCTTATTATTATTTCAGTTTTTCTCCAACTATACTTCGGGTAACGTGTACTTATGATCTTCACTTTTTGATGAGACTACAATTTAGGGACGAACCAATCAGATACAAGATAACAGATATATTGGATTTTGGCGCGAACTTCATTCATCCATCTGGCCAAATAAAGTTTTGGCATTTTAGCTAATGTTAGTTCGTGATGAAAAACAGTGAATCTAATTCTTACCCTAATATCAACTGTGAATTATAATCCATATCCTCCAAACTGCCTTATAACCCTCATTTAGCCTTAGTAAGTAGGTAGACACTCTCAAAGTCAGTTTAGCGTCGCTCAACGGTCGTCCATAAAATATAGTCTCATCTAAATTTTCACTATTAACTTAATCGATTATCATCTTCTAAATATTGTTTAGTATGAGAAAATTTGTTCAGATACCACTGATGTTATCTCACTCACTCTCAGCATATCTGAAATTCAACAGTGATGAACTATGTTTCAAATTGTCTTCAATCATTCGTGAATAATCTCTGATAATTAGGATGTAATGTTTATTGAAGAAATAAGTTGGAAACCATCATTCACAACAAACTAATAAAGAATATCGAGTGATCTAAAGGTCCTAGATTTCATTAGTTAGAGGGCCTTAGATGGTTATTGATGAAGAATCATATACAAGGAGATACCAGCTATCTAGCACTCCTTGGCTTCTTAAGTATTCAGTAGTTCAAGTCAATTCCTTAGGTTTGAACAATCTTTATCAACATCTCATACTAAGAATCCTTCAAGTGTAAACTTCTGGATCTTCTTGTATTTCTATTAGGATTAATTTAAACTATTTTATAAATAATACTTATGTTATAACTTGTCAATTGAGTGCTACATGTTATATCTGGTCGTCGCTGATTGTTATGTCAGAAACGCCTATCACTTATAGTCGAAACGAAGAACCGCAGCAATTCCTACGACGCAAAAGTAAGAACATAAAAATTAGTATAAGTGAAGATTTATTAACCCCAAAACACAACGACGATGAAGACCTTCAATGAACAAGACATATCAACGTACTTTTTTCTGGTTAGCGTATTTTTTTTAGCGAGTTAGTTTCCTACAGGATCGGGCCATACCCAACCCTCCTACTTTATCTGAGCTTGTGACCGACAGTAGCCCTAGGGGAACTCCAGACGGAGTTATTTTATAAATAATTCATTATTTCAATATAGTTAATGTTATTATTTATTCATAATATGATTAGTATAGTTATATGAATAATGATTATCTTCTCATTGTTATTCTTTGTTCAACTAATCATTTGAATAATAAGGACGTGGTGATGTATTCGGTGAACCATTTTGGAAAGATCCAAATAGTATGAGTCATTCAGCAGCAACAGTTCGTGCTTTAACTTATTGTGATTTACATTGTATTAAAAAAGATTGTCTATTACAAGTATTAAAATTTTATTCTGCATTTGCAAATAGTTTCGCTCGAAATTTAGTATTAACATACGATTTAAAAACACGTGTAAGTAATGAATAACTATCATTGTATTATGTTATTTTTTTGTTTATTTATAAGCATTGGTACAACGAAGTACCAAATAGATACTATCTGGGTGCTCAAAATGGAGTAGGTGGCTTTATTACGGGGGGAACATCCTGAGCCTTCGATGTAAAGGTCTGATCTATTAGGCAGTGGAACAGCGTTAGGAGATGCAGTCATATGGTAGCCGGTGACCAAAGATTTGTTCCTTTAGGATACTGGAGCCCATGTACATCATTGGTTTGAAATCAGGGTATTCCAACTCCTCTAGGTGAACGCTCTGTGTCCACCAATCCGGTTAAAGCGCCGGACATTCAATTTTTGTCCTCTCGATTTTGTAAACAACAGTAATACCACGAGAAGGTAGTAAGTAGAACTTCCCTGTCAGTGGCTGTATACTCGTGGCCATATGAGAGCATTTAGAGAGAGAGCTGATTCTTCTCACTTTCGATTGTACCAAGACATATACTGAACCCTTTGGATAATCTTAAGTAATCTAACATTTCTATCTCAAGAATTTTCTATGGATAATGAAAGCAATTTAGGCTTAGATTTTGTTACACACTATTATCCTTTTTAATAGTTTGAAACATTTGTCGGTAAACCTGAGGTTTACACTGGTTAGCCATTTGCCATTATGGTGTATGGTCATTATTTTGAAAAGGAATGACTTACTCCTCACTATATGTAGTACTAGAGATATAAGCTTAAATTAGTTATTCATTTGTAAACCATATACAATTGTTTAGTTCTTGATACAAATAGAATACTGTCAGTTATGTTCGCAATATGATCACTAAGTTAAGTTGTTCAACATCAAGTTATTTGGCAAAGGATCCTGAATGACTTAGATTTCGTGTTAGCTTCCAGTTATCATTATGAACTATCAACCTCAACGCTTACTTATAATTCGAACCTGAGTCAACGAGTTCCACAATTTGAGACATTACTATCAAACTATTTAGGTAGCGATTCAAATACATGATAACTCGGATATTTATACTACTTTATCATTCATTAACTAATATCGTCGTGTTTGTCTAGTTCCTTAAGAAACCCTCCAGCTAGATTTCGTGCTACTTGGCACTCGTCAGCAAGGTTTGCCTGTATTATTCTTGAGGGAACCGATGCTCCCTGACGGATTCGATCCTGTGTCATATAGCTTCACATACAGAAACGTTACCACTGAGCTATCCGGACCGATTTCTAATTCCTTGGTATTTATTATTTCATTAAGTTGACCAATTTACTAAATGATAAGTTTATTTCATGCTTTCGCTCTCTATTTTTATTTGTTTCTTTTAGCTTATATTTCGTAAATTAGCAGATGTTCGACGAGAATATGAATTAGCTGAACATCGTAAAACTGATAATGCATTATCTAGTTTACGTGCTGATCATCCAGTTCGTCGAATGATACATAAATTTCGTCGTATAGGTACACATAATCAATCAACTAATGATTCACCAATAGGTAGTAATAGTGGTCCAGGTTTACAAGATAATGATATGATACGTATTACACGTAAATCTATTACATTAGGTGATTATGATGATTATAGTAAAGATTTTGAATTTAATGAAGATCATGAAGATCGACTACGAATTCAAGGAAAATTAGATAGTCCAAGTACATCTACTATGAATAGTACTAACAATAATAATAATAATAATAGTAATCCTGTCAGTGTATTAGATGAAATCGCATCACGATGGGGTAAACGTATAGAACTAAAAAACAATAATAATAAAATATCTATTTCAGATTCAATTCAACAAACAATTCCTTCTCATAAAGAGTCCCCTAGTAACACAATTGCTAATAATAATAATAATATCAATGATAATCAATATTCACGTTCAGTTCTACAATCGAAATGGGGTAATTTATTAAAAACATCCATAATACCTGAAGAACAACAACAACAACAATCTAAATCAATAATTTCGAATCCAAATAAAATCAATAATAATACTGATAATGATAATCATCATATTCAATCGATTATTAATAATCAATCAAAATTAATGAATGATCATTTTGAAAATTTACAATTAATCAATAAATCAATATTAGATAATTTAATGAATATACAAAATGAATTTAAACAAGAAATGAATCATTTAATAAAACGTATCAATGATATTGATAATCGAATTGGTCAAATTGTTTGTAATATAGAATATAAACAATATGATAATAATGGTAATGAATTAAAACAATCTTGGAAAGATCATCATCCTCACCACCAACACCATCATCCTCATCAAGAAGAAGAAGAACAACAACAACAACAATGTCGAGAACATCACCACCACCACCACCACCATCAACTTTATCCTCATCAACAAGAAGAAGAACGACAACAACAAGTACATCATCAAAAACATGGTAAATATAATAATAGTAATAATAATAATATAAGTAAATTGATTAAGACAGTATTTACATCATCACCATTAACATCATCTGATTTATCTACCTCATTTAAATCAAATCGTACTTCCAGTTTAACTATATCAAATAAAATACATCCATTAGTTAATTCAATGGATACTAAATTAAATCAATCAACATCAATAGCAACAACAACGAAAACAAAAAGAAGAAACCGAGGAATAAGAACAAAAAGTACCAGTTCAATAAATCCTCAACAAATCAATAATCAAATTATAAAATTAAATGATTTATCATTCAATAAAGAATTTTATAAATATAATATACCAAGACAATGTATATCACAATATTATAAACAATATTCAATGGATAATGATAGTCAATTAGAATCTATTTCAACAGAAAGTGATACATCATTAATGAATGTACAACAACAATCATCATCATCATCATCATCAACAACAACAACAACAACATCATCATCATCATCATCCAAAATTATTTTAGCTAAACCAATACAAACTACTTATTTTTCTACTCATTTAATGAATACTATCACAACTACAACTACAACAACAACAACAACAACGACATGTTTAATGAATCAAACTAATCAATCTTTAATAAATTATAATTATTCTTTATCACCATTCATATCTCATAGAAATGATCATTTATATTGTCAATCAATATTAAATCATTTTAATGAAACACAATTGATTAATCGTAATCCATTTATTTATTCTATTGAAAATAGGACACAATCAATGATTGTAACGGATAGTTTAAGAAATCAATTACCAAGGAATGTATTGTATAGTACTACAACAACAACAACTACTACTACTACGATTGGATCATCAATGATGATAACTGATACAAATACCTATGTGCCTAATTCTTCTTATATGATGTCTATGACTACTAGTAACACTACTACTACTACTACTAACAATAATAATAATAATAATAATAATAATAATAATACTCGATTATTCATTAATAATCGATGGAATCCACAATCAGATATATTGAATACACGTATATTTATTCCAGAATTATCATCTGTAATGACTACTGATATAACAACAACTACAACTACAACCACATCCACCATCACCACCACCACCACCACAACAACATCACAATATATTCATTCATCATTTAATCAAAGATCTCATATTATTCATACTAATCAATTGAATAAATTTAGGGATTTCAATGTAACTAAACAATAGAAATCAAGATATGTCTACTTATTTTATATCAATAATGTTTTCTTCTTTATTTTATTTTTCTTTTTGTTTTTTTTCCTTTTATTGTAAATTCTTTCTTTTTTTCTCTTTTTTCTCTCCTTTTTTTTCAACTTTTATTTTAATCCATAAATTAATTCATTAAAACATAAACTATTTTATCCCCTTATTAATTAATAAATAAATAAATAAATAAAATGGAACTGATACAAATCGGACATGAATATATTTTTCAAAATCAAAATATGAATTCTAATTGAATTTAGGTGTACAAAGCTCATGTAGACATATACGAACACACACAAACACACACACACAAACATACGTACAACAACACCACCACCACCAATAATAATAATTATCTGATACCATGGTGAAATGAAACATTTAAGATTTTTTTTTTTCGTTGTTTTTTTTTAGGTATAAACCTTAAATAACTAAGTAACTAATTGTTTGTTACTAAGAGAAAGGTAAAAAAATACACATTTGAGTTGTATATATTATCAAATGAAAGTTTATTTTACATTTTAAAGAAAAAAAAGAAAGAAACAAAACAGAATCACAACTGAGAATAATTTTCTTTCATATTTATTTATTTGTTTATGGGTTTTTTTTTAATTTATCAATTAAATGGTTATCCATTTGGAAACGTCTTAGTCAGTTAGTTAGTTACAACGTAGGATCAGGCACATATATGGCATCGATTCAAGTTGCCATACCTCATTAGCTCAACAACATGAACACTGAATTCATAGTAGTTAATTCAATGGTGGTAATATATATAAGAAAGATTGAATGTAAGGATATAGTATAGGAAGAAAGAATTAGTTCGTAGAAAGAAAGATATAAAACAATTTTAATCTCATAGTTTAAGGGAAGACAAAGAGTGTATACACCTACGCAATTGTGATCGATTCTCAGCTATATCACGCACAGTCTCCAACCACTGATTACGACAGTCATACGGACCCCAATCAAATGGTCTGCATCTACCGATAGGGCTCAGACTAAAAGTTAGTGAATTCCTTAAATGATGCCACATTTGATTGAGCCACTCCTAACTTTCTTACAACCATCCTCAACACCAGTTAGCATTGCACGTCGTGATAATCGGAGTTCACGTATATATGACACATGGCCCAAACATCTCAGTCGATGAAGATTTACAACCTCATCAACTGAATTACCATCATTACCTAATACCCTGTGTCTAACCTCACTATTACTTACGCGGTAATCCCAGTAGATGCGAGCAATAATTCTAACACATATGTGATCAAATAATAGTAACTTACGAGTATCCTCTATTCTTAATGCTCATGTTATGCAGCCGTAAACTAGAACAGAATGAACTGCTGTGCATTATTCTTGTCCTTTAATTGATAGACAGATGTCTTGCCTTCACCATATGTGATGTAAGTTGGCAAAAGCCAAGTCTATTCAGGTAACATCACATGAACACATTTCAAACAGAATTTAACTATGAGAATTTCTCTACTAATGCTTATTATTGACACTTGTCCTGTTATTATCTACGTATTTACTATAAATCTCTTCTCATTTGATTCGTTTGTTGACTTTATAGTTGTATAGAAATGTAAAGACTAATATTTTTATTGGATTAATTCCAGTAAATTAAGTCAAAAATCAATTAATTTATGAAACAATGAAACACATCTATTATGAAATGATAATTAAAAAATAATTGCTACCGAATGTTGACTAAAGTAAAGAGTTGGTAAGATTGATAGTTGCTTGATCACTAGTTGGTGATCAATGTCATATATGTTAGGTCCTTCTTAATGTAGATCGAATCCTATAGACCAAGTTGCAATGTGTCCACTAGTCTAGGTGACTCGACACTGAATGCACTATAGTGAGATAAAATGGTGGTTGGAAGTAGTCAACAGGTAAGATAGATTTCAGTTTAATTAATAGCGATTTAACTTTGAATGATAAATCTGAACGACTGAGCTACTGTTTTGCAATTGAGTCAAACATAATGTTTTAAGTCATATATTATAGATTCTTACTAAATTACTTACGCCTGTTACTCCTAATCGAACATAGGCTGCCGATCAGATCTGACTTTGTTATCGTGATGAGGTATCCTTCCTTACAATCCTTCTTTACAGTCTGTCTGTTGCATTTGTTCTTCCTCCCAAATCTTCCTGAATAGAACGTAGAGCGCCTTTCCAGTTGCCTCTATGTATGACTTCAGCTGGTTTATTGCCAGATGCTACTGCTTACCCACTCTTGATTTGTCTGATGACCATCCTGATTTTTTTTATCATTGATGGAGTGAGATCTATAGTATGGTCTGTGTGTATTGCTTCGATTTCCGGTGGATTCAATGAAGCATTCATATTCAGTGGTTCCTCAAATTGTTCTACCCATCTTTTCCTGTGTTCTTGAATCTCATTAATCGGTTTCCCTTCTTTGTTCTTGACCGGTCTCTCTGGTTTACTCTACCAGTTTCTCCATTATATTATACAGTTGTCTGATATTTCACCATGTTGCAGCTTTTCCGCTGTCGTTGCTAGCTCTTTCACGTATTTCTGCTTGTCAACTCTAATGCTCTTCGTCACTTGAGTGTTTGCTTCTATGTATTCAGCTTGTGTCTTGAGTTTCTCTGTTCTTGTTCGGCTGTTGTTAACTGCTATCTTCTTGTTCTTTCTTTCTTAAATCTTATCCAGGGTTCCCAAAGAGATTCGTTACTTCTGTTGATGCTTTTGAGTTCAAGAACCTCCTGACATGTTGAAGTTAATGCTTCTTCGATCCCTTTCCAGTTGTCCTCCATAGTAGTTTCTTCTTCCTTTAGTAGATCCTGTAAGGCTTGGAACCTGTTGTTGAGAGCTATCTTTAATTCGTTGAGTTTGTCAATATCTCAAAGGAAGGCTTTATTGAGCCTTCGTAATGCCGTTTCCCAGTTGTTCAGTGCTTCTTTAGCTTCAACTTCATCTTGGCAACCACCAGGTGGTGATTCAAAGTGATGTCAGCTCCCTCGCTCTCTGAATTTTTTACTGATGCAAATATGATCTATCTGGTTCGCCATACTGTGGTCCGATGAGACCCATGTAGATTATGTATGCGTTCGTGTGGAGATATTATGCGACCTATAATCATTTTGTTGAATGTACATAGATTTGCAAATCTGTCAACATTCTCATTCCTTTCTCCCAGTCAGTTCATCTCTTCTCATGATGTCTTCATACCCGGTGTTGTGAATTCCGACTTTGGCGTTTAGGTCTCCCATCAGGATGGTCAAGTCCTTTCCTGAACACTTCGCTCTGATCGACTGAAACCTCTCATAAAATTGATCTTTACCGTCGTCGTTGCATTCACTGGTGGGTGCATAACATTGGATAATATTCATTGTGATTCCCTCCCTCATTTTTTAAATGATGCTTTGATGATCATCGGTCCATGAGATTCCTATCCAATAACTGCTTTATGTGGCTCTTTGGACAGTATCAGAGCAACTCCCTGAGTGCGCAGGGCACTTTCTTCTCAGTGACCTGAGTACAGCAGCATTTCTCTCTAATCTATCTTCTGTCCAGATTGAGTTCAATGGATTTCACTTATTCCGAGCAACACCAAGTTGTCTCTACTCATTTCCGTAGCTATTTGGTTGTTCCTCCCAGTCTACAACATGGTCCGGAAGTTCCATGAAGTTATATTAACTGTTGCTCTAGTTGTCGAAAGTGGCATCAGTCTCATGACTTTCGGAGAATCTCGGCTTTCAACAAGAGGCATGATAAATTTTCCTTCTACTCTGAGGGCAGACATTAAGTGGTTCAATTTGTTAATTCTGATTAGCGTTGTCTTTAGAAAGATTGTTATCTATGAGATGGGCTTGCCAACCCGATGCCCAACACTTCCCCTATATGTAGGCTTGAGACGGGAAGTAGCCCCAGGAGAGCTATAGGCGGAGTACGTGTTGAGTTGAATTAATACACATCAGTGGATAGTCTATGATAAAAAGTGTAAGATATGGGGATAATGTGTATCGTCATCAGTTATTATCAGTCTTTATCAATACAGTAAGAAAGAATCTTGACAGGGTGAAACTTGAAATAGGGTTTAGTTCAGCAGTTAGTGTATTTCTATGGACTATTGATTTACCTAAATTTAGAAATCAATTAGCTTCTTGTCAACCTACTACAGTATCCAGTAGTAACTAAATTCTCAGTTATTCGTATGAAATGTTTTCAATTTTTTAACACTTATTCTGTGATCGAAATAGAAATCAAAATTTTAGATCACTATCTAATCAGTGGAATAGATACTTTTCCATATTTGATTTTGTTTCTTATTATTAAGTGGTCGGAAGAATCTAATTCGACAACTGATTCTGTTGTAGGACCAATCAATGAAAACTATTCAGTCAGTAAAATATAACGCCCTAATCGTAGCACAGCATATATTTTGTCGATCAGTGCAAATATGTTTTGGTAATCTTATTAAAATTTACTTGGTCATATAATTCAGTTGCTTTCATTTCAATACCTGAGAATGGTGGTTAGCAGTGGAATCCAGGATGCACGTTCCGTTTCATATGGAACTCTTCAGTTGAATATACGTGCATCTCTGAGTTGATATTCACTCCGAGACTTGAACGCAGTAATGTTCGCTTCAAACGCCATCGAGTTATCCACTTAGCTACTGACTCCACATAACCACTAGCTTGTGCAATGAGATCACATTTAATTCATTGTGTATTGTTTGTTTGAATCTCCCTATTAGTGTTTAGGACTGCAATTGATTAGTCACTTATTGGCATATGTGCATCCTGTGAGGATTGCCTCGATATTGCCTTGTCAGCGACGATGGATACAATGGAAATTTCTAGCTTTTTTTTCAAGTTAGATGTATCGACTACAGCAAGAATTGGAACTACTAAAAGAAAAACCAGGATAATTGGATGGCATTATAATTGATGGTCAATGTGAAATCACATTAATATCTGTTGCTTATAATCCATTCTACTTTTGTAGTCGTGAACACAGAAAACTGAGTAATCAGAATATCAGTAGTACGACTGATAAAGTGGACGCTCTCTCTCTACCTATGCATACCTTGAACATAGATTACCAGTGATGCAGTATTATACGTCATCAATAATATCAAAACATGTATAAAACTACGAACATAAATGAATTTGGATGGGAAAACGTTAAAATTCTAAAAATGTTAGAGAACTTCCACATGTATAGCATTCAGATCAATTGGCCATCAACAGACATCGATATCAATCCACGTGAAAGACATAGACTAACTACATGATCAGAAGTCAACCAGAAAAAAAAACACATTCAATAGAAATGCAAGAATAAATGAGGACTAAATTGCCCATAAAGATAATCAATCATAAACCACACCAGTTAAAGCTTGTGGAATAACTGACAAATTCACAACCACATAATACAGGAGCAGATAATATTGTCCAGAAGGACAACTGATAAATTTTCACCATTAAACCAAATAGATTAAAGAACATACCAATAAAAGCAACCAGCTAAATTGAAGATTTCTGATATCAGTCATGATAAATCTGTTTGTTTATTAACTTCTATATTTATTCTAAGTATATTGAATTCATATAATTATCAACATTAGTGAATACTAAACACATAAATAGTGGTAGTTTTAAATCAGATCCAATCACTGCAATCAGAATTATTATTATTATTATTAATAATAATAATAACCAAAAACATAATCATCAAGATCTTTTGAAAAAAATCAATAATTATTCACTGTTACAGAAAGAGAGAGTGAAAAGTAGATATTGGCGTTGAAAATCGAGATAAACAAAAATATACTACTGAAATGTAAATAAGTAGATAAACATAAAACTGTTGTTTTTACAAAATTATATATTATAGAATGATCTCATACAAGAGATATGTATAGTATGCATGTAATTTCATGCCTGCCTTTCTCCATGTATGTTCACAGGAGGATAATTAACAAGTGCAGTAACATACACATAACGAACTATTCAAAAAAAAGAGAAACTAAAACGTTGATCATCAGGTCAAGATAATAATATTTATGTACGTGAACAGTTGAGCGTTATGTAAATCAAGTGAACACAGAAAGGAAAATTGAACGACAACAACAAAATCACTAATGAAAATGAAATATTTAAGGAAAATAAGAAATGATTTTGTCTATATAATTGGAATTGTTGCGAATATTTTTTTTGTGGGTGTGTATAAAAAAGAACAGAGAGGAGGGGGAGCATAGAGATAGATATATAAATCGATTAATGTAATCATTCCAAAAAGCGTATACTCATCTTTTGTTCAATATCCACATTATCAAATGCCTATTTCAGAGCATTAATAAAATAAGAGTAAAAAAGAAGTGTATAACTTTTCAGAAATTAGAATTATATTACTGAAATCTTCAAGGAGAATTACCAATGATTATGGTTCATTATGTTCAAAACTATGTCAAATAATTCATTACAACATACTCAAACTCCTTGATCGTATTCTTTTGTACAATCGTACAAATAGTGTAATATATTTCCTTATGTTATACAGGTTTTAACTGGCTTAATATGTATGGTTAATTTCATATCTTTCGGCTTATAGTCCATGACAGTATTAATTAATCAAGAAATTCGAATGGAACATCATTAAAAAAGTTTGTATGCTATACTCCTGTTTTTACGCCCTTAAATGCCCTGATAAGGCCGACAGTGAGGATAGTCAGCTCTTTCTCTCCCTCTCTCGAAATGCTCTTACAAGGCCACGTGCATACAACCACTGACTGGGAAGTACTAATCACTGTCTTCTTGAGGAGGGTGCGTTTTCCTAAGAAATTGAGAGGACGAAAAGCGAATGTCCGGCGCTTTAACTAAGTTGGTGGACATGGAGAGTTCATCTAGGGGAGTTGAAAAACCATGCTTTCGAAACAATAATGCACATGGGCTCCAGGATCTTGAAGGAACAAATGGCGTATGAACCAATTGTTGGTGACCGGTTGCCATGGGACTGGGTATCCTGACGTTACTCCACTGCCTTATGGATCAGACCTTTAGGTCGAAGGCTCCGGGTGTGGCCCCCTAAGAAAACCACCTGTTTCGGTTGAGCAGCAAGGCAGTATCCCAGTCCTCACACAAATCGAATGATTTATGTGGCGCATATGTATTTGATGCCTCCTTGCACCAATGTTTATGTGTTTAAATAAATAATAAACTCCTGTTTTTTTAGTTGAAAAAACGACAGTCGATAATAATGGTATGGATGTATTAAATACAAAATATGATTTTGATAGAGTTTTGTTCTCTGAGCTGGATGGCTTGTTCATGGAGGTTGCATCGATATTCTGAACGACACCATCAGCACAAACTTAAGATAGAAGTGGAGTGTTCGAATTTCTCCACATGTGGTTCTTGTTGACCTTAAAACTATCATGACAAGTTGTGAACCATAAATGGAGAAATTCGAACACTTCATTTCTACATGAAGTTTGTGCTGATGATATCGTTCAGAAGAACGATGAAAGCTCTACGACTAAACCATCCAGCTCAGAGAACAAAATTCCATCAAAATCATTCAACTGATCTACAAATCTTCTCCACCATCTCACAATATAAGATTAAAGAAGAAGCGAATGTAATCGAAAATATTCACTGATGAAAATGAATAACAGCTAATGGTTGTCGAAAAACTTTTGAAGTTAAAAATACAGATCAACTTAATGGTTTAAATGTTAAACACTTACAACGAAACCTAAAGGTCTTGGATTCAACTTCTAGTGAAGTTGTGGATAAGCACTTCTGAGGAGTTCTATACTAAGATGAAACAGTTGTAAGTGCTTCCCCAGTTTTCGATGATTGCTTAAGGTCAGTTCGTAATGTTAAACTATGAAAAACTTGCTTAAATGTTCACAAGTTCATTTTGGTGATTAAAAATCTCGTCTTTCAACTAATAGATCACATTTCCATGTATCGCATCATCTAATTCGATTTTGATAGTCAGATAATATCACTAGAACCTGGGACACACAATATGATTTAAAGCAAATACTGAATAAAACAGTACCTAGTAAAATGATATTACTTATCTCACACATAAGCATACAAAGGTAGGTTTAAAGAACAATAATGGATAATGTAAGAATTGTTTGATATGATCAAATATTTTGGATAAAAAAACTAATAATCAGCTGATAATTAAGCTGAAATTGGTAATGAGTAGGTGGAACATAAAATTCAATGCTTGAAGAATGCCATATATTTATACCATAGAATCGATATCTTACATACTTAGTATATTTATATTACATTAATTTGAGTTTGAGTCGTATTTTAAGTATGAAGACAGTACGGCAGTATGAAGATAGTACCTGATTACCCAAACTGGTGCCCCCAAATGTCCTGGTATGGCCGAGAGTGAGGTGGGTTCGCCCTCCCTCTCGAAATGCTCTCACACGGCCACGCGTATACAGTCTCTGCCAGGGAAGTCTTACTCACTGCCTTCTCGTGGCGGGGGTGTTGTTTACGAAAATGAGAGGACGAAAAGCGAATGTCTGGCGCTTTAACCGGATCCCAAACAAATTGTGCACATGGGCTCCAGTATCCTGCGGGAACAAATGGCGTATGAACCAATCGTTGGTCACCGACTACCTGGCGTCCTCCCTCTGCATCTCAAGCCTGGACTCAGATTGATCACATCGCGATCAGCTACCGCTGGCGTGGTTGTGTACAAGACTGCCGCTCCTTTTGGAGTACCTATCTGGACTCTGACCATGCCTTGGTCTGCGCCAATCTTGCCTTACTTTTCAGTGGACAACGAAGTGACCGCCATCAACGGATTGATGTTAGCAAGCTGGTTGCAACTTCTGTTGCAAGTAAGTATCGAACCGAGCTAGCCTCTAGGCTAGCTACCACTCCACCGAAAAGTATAGATGAGCATTGGTTGCAATTGCATGACGCCATGAAAATGGCGGGAACAGTCAGTTGTGGGTTTGCGAAACGTCCCGCTTTAAGCACTGGGTTTCTTCTGGTTCCTTACAACTCATTGAAGCCCGTCGGTCTACTCCGGGTGACCGTGAGTTTGACCATAAACGAAGGATGTTACGTAAGGAAATTGGGCAAAGCTTGCGTAAGGACCGAGAAGCCTGGTGGTCGATGCGTGCTAATGAGCTGGAAGCAGCAGCTGCATCTGGTAACTACCGGAAGCTCTTCCAGCTCATCCGAGCCACTGGCAGCAAGAAGTCTGGTGTGAGTGAAACAATCTGCGAGGATGATGGGATGCCAATCACTAACATCCATCGACGTCTTGGACGATGGGCAGAATTTTTCGAAGGGCAGTTCAACTGGCCTGCTGCTCCGGCAACATCGGTCAGACTGTCCTGCCCTCCATGGCCGGTGACGACTGATCCACCAAATGAGGAGGAAGTCCGCAAGGAACTCCAACTCTTGAAGCGTTACAAATCACCTGGCCCAGATGACTTACCTCCGGCTCTTTTTAAAGATGGTGGTGACTTTTTGACTAAGGAATTGACGACGTTGTTTACAAAGGTTTGGGAACTAGAGTGTGTACCAACGTCATGGAATGAGTCGATAGTTGTCCCTATCTTTAAAAAGGGTTCACGTCGTTCCTGTAACAACTATCGGGGGATAAGTCTACTTCCGATTGCGTCCAAGCTATTGGCTTCCGTCATTCTTCGTAGGTTGTTCAAAACCCGAGAAAGATTGACTCGCGAGGAGCAGGCTGGGTTTCGTTCTGGTCGAGGATGTATTGATCATATCTTCACCCTCCGCCAAATGTTAGAACACCGCCATACTTATCAAAGGCCAACAATCGTAGTGTTTCTTGACATCAGGGCTGCCTTCGATTCGTTGGACAGGACTGTTCTCTGGGATTGTCTATTGAAGAAGGGTGTGCCTGAGAAGTTTATTAACATCCTGAAAGCCCTATATAAAAACACCTCAGGCAGAGTGAGGGCATACAACCACCTCTCTCCATTGTTCCATTCGAGCAGTGGGGTTAGGCAGGGTTGCCCAATCTCACCATTCCTCTTCAACTTTGCCATCGATGACATTCTGGAAACAGCTCTGATGAATGTAAGTAATGGTGGTGTGGATCTGTTGCCTGGAGAAAGACTTCTCGACCTTGAGTATGCGGACGATATTGTCTTACTGTGCGATAATGCCCAAGGCATGCAATCCGCACTTAATCAGTTGGCAATCAGTGTCCGTAGGTATGGTATGTGCTTTGCACCTTCGAAGTGCAAAGTACTTCTACAAGACTGGCAGGATTCTAATCCTGTACTCACCCTGGATGGTGAGCAGATAGACGTAGTTGAGAAGTTCGTGTATCTGGGTAGCTGCATAAGTGCTGGTGGGGGTGTGAGTGATGAGATCAATGCACGAATAGTGAAAGCCAGAGCGGCTTATGCCAATCTGGGCCACCTTTGGCGCCTTCGTGATGTTAGTCTGGCTGTAAAAGGTCGGATCTACAACGCGTCGGTGAGAGCAGTTTTGCTCTATGCTTGTGAAACCTGGCCTCTCCGAGTTGAGGACGTTAGACGACTCTCTGTGTTCGATCATCGCTGTCTCCGAAGGATTGCTGACATTCAGTGGCAACACCATGTCAGTAATGCAGAGGTTCGGCATCGTGTGTTCGGGCACAGAGATGATAATTCAATTGGTGTCACCATCTTGAAACACCGACTTCGGTGGCTTGGACATGTTCTCCGAATGTCGTCCCAGAGAATTCCACGTCGTGCATTATTTGCCGACTCTGGGACTGGTTGGAAAAAGCGGAGAGGTGGTCAGTGCATGACATGGTGTCGTGGCATGAAAGAAAGCTGCAAAGGACTGGCTTGTGTTGGTCCTTCACGACTCCCTGGTTGGGGTCCGAGAGATGGTGCTACACAGTGGCTAGAGACGTTATCAGATATGGCTCAGAATAGAAGCCAGTGGCGATCCTGCTGTAACCTTCTTTTACTTTCTTCATAAAAAGTGGTTGTGTCTCCTTTACCTGAAAGATTTCTTCTGATTGTACCTTTTCGTTCCGTCGTTACTACCACACTACCTTACTCCAATCTCTTCGTCATTGTTCTCTTTTTCTTTTGCGCTCCTTAGTTTTTTTTTCTACTTCTCTTCGAATTCTCATTGTTTTGTGTGGCGCATATATATTGGCGCTCTCTTGTACCAATATTCATGTGTTCAAATAAATAAATAATAATACAGACCTTTAGGTCAAAGGCTCAGGGTGTGGCCCCCTAAGAAAACCACCTGCTTCGGTTTGGGCACCCGGGCAGTATCACAGCCCACACACACAAATATGGTATGGCGTATATATATTTGGTGCCCTCGTGTACCGATATTTATGTGTTGAAATAAATAAAATAAATACCCAAACTGATGTAGGTGGAGTGGGGCTCAGATCTCAATCAGTCGATCACAACGGTGCACCTGGTATGTATTAAGGTCAGTTTAAGTTGCCATACCCTATTAGCACAAAGAGATGGGGATTGTCAACCCAAATACTAGAACAGAAAATGTAGTAGGAACTCGAATCTGGGACGTCTTAACCGCTACACCACCTCTTTACATATTCATTACATCAGATGAAATCCTAACTACCACCCACAAATCAGTGAGTAATATATATGTCTAGATTAATGAATATCATAAACATTTCCTCGAATTCGAAAACCAGACACAGGCCTTATATAGTTAGGGCTTTGTGATATACTCATAATTACGTGAGTACTGGTGACGGTACTATTGACCGGTTACGCAAACCGAATTTTAAAAATAAGGATTTGGATATAAAAATAATGGATGAGAATATAATTTATGGACAACCTTTGAGCAACGTTAAAGTGACCTCGAGAGTGTCTACCTAATTACTAAGGTTAAATGAGGGTTAGAAATCAGTGTCAGTCAGTCAGTAACAGTGAGGAATTCGAATTATGATTTACAGTTGATGGTTAAGGTTAGGAATTAGATTTAGGGCTTTCATCACAAACTGACATCAGCTATAATACCAAGACTCTATTTAACCAAATAGATGAATGAACTTCGCGCCAAAATCCGAGATTTGTTATCTTATACCTGATAGGTTCGTTCATAAATTATAGTCGCCAAATAATGATAAAAATTCGAATGATATATTCATTGATAAAACTACATCCACAGGAGCATATATATAAGAAATAAAACATACTTGTACAAATTCCGCATACGATATATAGCAATCACCATCAAGATCCGCTTCAGCCATTGTTCGTTCACCAATATTATTGATCTGAAATTGATTGATTTCTCATGAAATTAACATATATGGTTATACATCTTAAATTATATAAATAACCGATACTATCTTAACTAATCATAGGAGTTACATCATTGTTATTTTTGTCAACAGATTCAGCATTTTATTCACTTGATGATGTTTACTTGTATCTTCCCACTGTTATTTAGGACGGCACTTGATCAGTTTCTTGTTGGCATATGTGCGGACTACCTCAATATTGCCTGAAGTCACAAGCTTTATAAGCAAAGATGGATAGCGGCTAGCAGTGGAATCCAGGACGCGTGTTTCGTCCTATTTGGGACTCGTCAGCTGGATATACCTGCATTTGAGAGTTGATGTTCACTCTGGGACTCGAACCCAGATGGATAGCGGCTAGCACTATCAATCTTTGCTTATAGAGCTTGTGACTTCAGGTTATATCGAGGCAATCCGTACAGGATGTACATATACCAACATGAGACTGATCAATTGCAGTCCTAAATGACAATCGGAAGATATAAGTAAAACAACACCAAGTGAATTTAAAAACTTCACCCCATTGCACAGACAGGTGGCTATCAGGACTCAGTAGCTAAGTGGATAACGCGATGATATTTGAAGCAAATAGTAATGAATTCGAGTCTCAGAGTGAACATCAACTCTGAGATACAGATACATCCAACTGACAAGTCCCAAATTGGACAAAACGTATATCCTGGATACCACTGATAGCCACTATCGATCTTTGTTTATCAATCCAATATTATTTTACAAGTGCAAATAACAAAACTTTCTCTATATTAAGTTTTTACCTGAACAGATCACATTATCATATTCTATGATAATACAATATACCCTTTTATTTCAAATGTGATATTTATTTTTGATAGAACATTCATTATATGAAATTTAATATGAATTTTATGGTTAGGGTAATACACAGCATGTGTTTTATATTAGTTATAATGTAAAAATCTGGGGTTTTTGTTTCTGTATGTGTGTATTTTCTGTGAATAATCATGAAATACAAGTAAAATCTACACATAAATATGAGCGTGTTTTTTTTGGGGGGGAAGGTTCAAGTGTTTGTTATACATTTTTTTTCCTTTTGAGAAGGTGAAGTAGATTTTTATTTATCTGTCATTAGTTTTATTATTTGAACATATAAATATTGGTTGGGGTCCGCGTGACTTTCGTAACCAATGGTTGGAGACTCCTGGTGACATGGCTCAGAATCGATCACAATGGCGTAGGTGTATACACTCCCTGTCTTCCCTTAAACTAAGAGATTAAAATCACTTCATATCTTTCTTTCTACTAACTAATTCTTTCTTCCTGTACTGTGTCCTTATATGCAATCTTTCTCCTATATATTACCACCTTTGACCTAACCACTCCTATCAATCCGGTGTTCATCTTGCTGTGCTAATGCGGTATGGCAACTGGCCCGATCGAAGCTGCTACCTTGACGCGGTGGTCGGGCTTGCCTATCGTGATGACCCAACCGAGCTATATTGGCTGGAACATATGTTCCTGTAGGTTCTACCATGCCAGGCAGGTCGATTGGTGAACGGTAAGACTAAAAGCAGCAACTCAAGGTCTGAGGGCGAAGTCGTACTGCTGACTGTAGAGGGGTGTGACAGCAGTAAGGTGTTTCCCTCGGACAACCAGCATGACAGCGATGCTGCCTTCCCACAAGGAGGGGTGGGGTTAGAAAAGGTCGACCCTAAAAATGTCACACCTCACCTTACCTCACGGATTTCCGTCTCCGGCGGTAAGGCCCTTTGAAGAACGGAGCTAACACGTCAAAAACCTTCCACAAAAAGGCCGTGCGCGACCGGCCTCAAGCAGTTGTCCCTTGGGCTCTGCGGTCACGCTCCCAGGTCGTCAAGACCAACACTAATCCAATTTCCTTTTCAGGTTCCTCAAGAAATACCCTTCCACGGTGTGGGCAGCCGGGAAGTGACATCAGCCCTCATACCCGTAACAGCACAAGAGACCAAGGTGGTCACATTCAAATCCTTCCTACACCTCCTAATACCTCTCTTATCTCCATGACTAACCCTCCTCACGTCTCTTTATCACCTCGCACCGCTAGGGCAAACGATTCGAGTACGTGGAACGCCATTCCTGGTCTCCTGAAACCACGCTCTAAACTACACGTAGGAGCTTTTAACGTACGAACACTTTGCCAAATAGGACAGCAGGCTTCCTTAGCTAAAACTTTAGAATCTCGCGCCATCGATGTGTGCTGCGTCTCCGAAACGCGCATACAGGATCCAAGTAGCGTCATTCATTTGACCTCACCATGCCAAAATAAAGAACCGACTCGATTTACGCTTCGTGTATCTGGAAGCCCTGATTCTGCTTCCCGTGGCCTCGCCGGCGTAGGTATAGCATTGAGTCCTAGGGCAGAACTAGCTCTCTTAGAGTGGATCCCAGTAGACAGTCGTTTGTGCGCTGTCCGACTGAACGGAACAGTAAGAATCCGGAAAGATAGGGACACTCGTCGTTGCCTCTTCGTCGTCTCTGCCTATTCTCCCACTGACTGCAGCTCAGATGATGTAAAAGATGAGTTTTACAGAAAGCTTTCGGACCTTCTCCGAAAAGCTAGGCGCTCGGATGTAGTAATAGTGGCCGGTGACTTTAATGCTCAAGTAGGTAAACTAAGCGATAGGGAAAGACACCTAGGTGGATCTTATGGTGTCGTGGCTCAAAGAACAGATAATGGCGACCGTCTGTTGCAGCTATGCTCAGATAACCGCCTGTTCCTTGCAAATACTAACTTTAAGCATAAGGAAAAACATCTTTTAACATGGCGACCCCCTAATTCGTCCCAACGTTGGACCCAAATAGATCACATCGCTATCAGCCACCGATGGAGGGGCTCGATAGAAGACTGTCGCTCATTCTGGAGCACATGCCTAGATTCAGATCATGCTCTAGTGCGAGCGCGTATTTGCTTGCGTCTTACTGGACGTAGGAAAGACGCTGCAAGGAAACCTCTTAGGGCCTACTTAATGATAGTCAAGCTAAGAGTATATTTCAGGAACAACTAGGAAAACAGTTAGGCAGCCATGTATGTGATGCCCACCCCGATGCAGCATGGAATGATATCCGAAAAGCTGTGGAAACAGCAGTGATATCTGCTAGTAAGGTAAACCAGAAGGTTAGGGAGCAACACTGGATCTCAGCAGCATCTATCTCACTGATAGATGCTCGGAAACTCATTCCACCTGGCTCTGAACATAATGAAGAGCGGAGTCAGCTTAAGCGCAAGCTGACAAGAAGTCTACGCAATGATCGCGAACAGTGGTGGGTAGCGAAAGCAAGAGAGATGGAAAAGGCAGCGGCAATAGGTAATAGCAGACAATTGTTCAGACTCGTTAAGGAAACCGGAATTAGGAACCCGACCGTTAGCGAAACAATCTCAGAGAAAGATGGACATATTATTCATTCTCAATCCAGGAGATTGGATCGATGGGCAGAACACTTTAGGGATCAGTTCAACTGGCCTTCAGCCACACTTCGGTTTCCCACGATCTCCAGTCAACCTGAATGGCAAGTTAATGTAGGTCCTCCGTCCCTTTACGAAGTTGAAAAAGCCATAGGAAATCTGAAACGAGGGAGAGCAGCAGGCCCTGACAGGTTTACTCCTGAGATTTTTAAGGATGGTGGTCCAGTATTAGCAATGAGATTAACCGAGGTCTTAGGTAGAATTTGGGAACTGGACGTAATCCCATCTGACTGGTCTCAATCACTGATTGTGCCAGTCTATAAGAAAGGACAAAAGTCCTCTTGTGACAATCACAGAGGAATCAGTTTGACTAATATAGTGTCTAAAATATTAGCTTCAATAATACTTCGACGCCTAACAAAGCTCGTGAAGAGCAGACTAGAGAAAACCAGGCTGGTTTTCGACCTGGACGTGGTTGTATAGATCAGATATTCACACTACGTCAGGTTCTAGAACACAGACACACATTCAGACGCCCCACAATGGTAGTATTTCTCGACCTTAAGGCGGCATTCGACTCTGTTGATCGTGAGGTTCTATGGCAGTGTTTGTCACTGAAAGGAGTACCAAAGAAGTACATTAACCTTATAAAGGCTCTCTACTCGAACACAGCTGGTGAGAATTGATTACCTCAAGTGGTGTTCGTCAGGGCTGTCCACTCTCCCCATTCTTGTTCAACTTTGTGTTGACGTACTTTTAGAGATAACACTCTCCTCATCTAAATTTCCAGGGGTTGAACTTCTACCGGGAGGTTCACTTGTTGACTTAGAATATGCTGATGACATAGTTTTATTTGGTGAAGACGCTGACAAAATGCAGAGTCTTCTGACCACTCTAAGCAACAATGCAAGCATGTTCGGGATGCGATTTCCTCCCTCGAAATGCAAAATGTTGCTTCAGGATTGGGTTACATCGACACCCGAACTAGTGATAGGGAGTGAAGTAGTTGAGTGTGTCGACCGCTTCACTTATCTTGGAAGTCTCATCAGCCCTTGTGGTCTGGTGTGTGACGAAATCTCAGCACGGATACAGAAGGCTCGACTAGCTTTTGCCAACTTGCGTCATTTATGGCGTAGGCGAGATATCCGTCTATCAACCAAAGGACGTGTTTACTGTGCAGCAGTTCGTTCCGTCCTACTTTATGGCAGTGAAACATGGCCGGTAAGAGTAGAGGATATCCGTAGGTTACTAGTATTTGATCATAGGTGTCTTCGAATCATTGCTCGTATATCATGGGACCATCGAGTAAGTAACACAGTTGTTAGGAAACGGGTACTAGATAAGGATGGCAAATCAATTGATGAAGTAGTGAAACTTCATTAGTTGAGATGGCTTGGACACGTGTTACGTATGCCCAACGACCGACTGCCTCGACGTGCTATGTTCAGTGGTATAGGAGTAGGTTGTAAGAAAGCTAGGGGCGGCCAAACCAAAACATGGCACAAGTCCATGAAGTCACTGACAAGTGAACTGAGTCATGTTGGTAGGTGTAGACTACCTGGTTGGGGACCGCGAGATGATAGCAACCGATGGTTAGAGACCCTGAATGACATGGCTCAAAATCGTTTGCAATGGCGCAGGTGCATCCACTATTTGTGTTCTCCCAAATTCTAATCTTCTGAATCCTTCATGTCCGTTTTTTCCTCTTTCCAAATTTATTTCACTGTATTATACTCTTTAAATAACATCTCCAAACCCTAATCTTCCCGATTACTGCTTATACTCTTATTACCTCTACCACTACGGGATTTGAATCGACAACTGCATCTCTGTGCTAATGTGGTGTGGCAACTCGAACTGATGTACGTACGTACGAAGTTCTACGTTGTTACTGACTGACTGACTGATGGCAACCTGGACCGATGCATATATGTGCCTGGTCCTACGTTGTAGCTGACTGACTGACTGACTTGTACAAAGAGAGTAACGAATACATATGCACCATACAAGTCAATTGATTTGTGTATGGGATGTGATACTGCCCGGTTGCTTAAACCGAAAAAAGTGATTTTCTTAGGGATCATATCCAGAGCCTTCGAATTAAAGGTCTGATCCACAAGATATTGGAGCAATGTCAGGAGATGCAGTCTCATGGTAGCCAGTACTCTAGTGTGTTTAATAACAAACTACTAATGTTTTTGCAGAGGTTTGTATTTTCCCATTAATAATATTCCGAACTAATATTCGACTAGTCTCTATTGGCATATATGTACCTAAGTAGGATCTCAAGATGTTGCATGTGTTTAAAGGTTTTATCGCAATTTTCGTATTTCAGCTACCATAGGAATCCAGATCGTGTGTTTCGCTTTGTTTGAATGTTATTATATGGACGTATCTGAACTTCAGTGTTGATTTTCGCACTAATACTCACACTGTTGTGATTGCTAGATCCTCAGAAATCACTTGGCAAACATTTTATTTTTGTCATTTTATTATGGAAATGTGAATTTTTCATTTTCGCGACAAAGATGCCCATTTTTACTTTCAGTTTGTATTTTCCACGAGGGAGAGCCTTAAATGCGATAGATTTATTTTCTCTTTCAGTACGCTGTTTTGTGACGTTTTCAAGGACATTACGCATGAGTTGTATGATTGTTTGTCAGCGCTTCCCGCTGCTTGTAGAATATTATTTTCCCCGACTGAATCTGGTCTTTTCCATCTAGTTAGCAGGGGTGGGGCGTAATAGAATAGCTTAGATTGTCCTGTTGTTGTGTTGCTGATTTTCGTTCCGTTCGTCAGTTCCAGGTGATATCGTAATCTCTTCAAACGTAGCATGAACCAAGTACTCCTTGCTTCAAATGGCAACGTGTTGTCTACTCATTAAGCTACGAAATTCAGACAGCCATTCTTTCACTCAACAGGACCATAATCTAACAGAGACTGGTAACATTAAGTCCTGAATATAAAGAACAATAAAATGTAAACCCCTACAAGTAATAATAATAGTAAGTATCACACTCTTTAACTAATTTTTAAATACAGTGATCTTGAGTGCTGTTGGAGGTATGAGGGCAGTTATCACTTCCCGGTTAACCACACCATGGAAGGGATTTTTCGGACGTACCTAAAAAGGAAATTGGGCTAAAGGTAGCGTGACCACAGTGCCCAAAGGACAAATGCTTGAAGTCGGTCACATACGACCTTTTTATGGGTAATTTTGTGTTAGCTCCGTACTTGTTGAGACCTTACCACCGGAGACGGATATCCATGGGATAAGGCGAGGTGTGCATTTTTAGGGTTGACCTTTTCTAACCCCACCCCTCCTTGTGGGAAGGCAGCATCGCTGTCATGCTGGCTGTCTGAAGGAAACACCTTACTGCTGTCACACCTCTGTACAGTCAGCAGTACAACTTTGCCTTCGGACCTTGGGTTTTTTGCTTTTAGTCTTACCGCTCTTCAACCGACCTGTCTGAAATGGTAGGACCTTGAGGAACGGTTGTTCCAGCCAGTATAGCTCGGTTGCTTCATCACGATAGGCAAGCCCAACCACTACCACGTCAAGGTAGCAACAACGGTAGCAACAACAAAAATGAACTTAACATAAAATTACACAAACCTGTTCAACAGTAATATTAGCACCGACCATCATTTGTAACATTCCCAATAATTCATTTCTTGATATTTTACCATCCATATCTAAATCATACATACCGAATAGAAAGCGTAATTTTGCATCACGATTATTAAATTGAGTAGATTGTTGTGGTCGAACTTTACGAAATCTTGCTAGTTTACGTACAAATTGACGAAAATTCAATTCACCTTGACTGTAGTATTATATACATGTATAGATTTTTATTTTAACAAAGTAAACAAACAAACAAACAAAAAAAGTTTAATTTTTTACAACAACAACAACAACAAAAACAAGCACAAAATAGAGAAAAATTAATAACAAAACCTAAATATGTTCAATATTCAATTTGTCATTATACAAGTTCATTATTGTTCATTGTTCATACTGTACATATTTAATCATGAATGTTAATGATATTTAAAAATTTAAATCAGATATCCATGTATATCAATATACGGTATGGTTTGACCAGAATGAAACACATATACAATTGTTCTATGTATCAATCGTGTACAGAAGCCTCATTTGCATAGAAACTTTAATTATTAAAGTTGAAAAAAATCAGAACTACTGATTGAAAAATAAACCCCTGTAAAATAATATCGAGAAATGAAATAATCAAGTTTTTTATTTATTTATTTATTTAAATAGTTATGACTTTGATTATGTGTCATGGTACGGCCGAGGGTGGAGAGAGTCAGTTCTCTCTCTCTCTCTCTCTCTCTCGAAATGCTCTTATGTGGCCACGTGTATACAATCACTAACAGGGAAGTCCTACTCAATGCCTTTTCATGGCATTACTGTTCTTTAGGAAATTGAGAGGAAGAAAAGCGAATGTTTGGTGTTTTAACCGGGTTGGTGGACACTGAGAGTCCATGTAGAGGAGTTGGAAAACTCTGATTCCAAACCAATGGTACACATGGTTGGTCACTGGCTATCATAGGACTGCATCTCCTTATGTTGCTCCTCCGACTTATGGATCAAACCTTTAGGTCGAAGGCTTGGGTTGTGGCCTCCTAAGAAAACTACCTGCTTCGGTTTGGGCACCAGAGCAGTATCATAGCCCACATACAAATCAATTGACTTGTGTGGTGCATATGTATTCAGTGCTCCCTTTCTACCAATATTTTTGTTCATATAAATAAATATATAAATAGTGATTCTAATCATGTCAATTTATTGTGGGAAGTGAAATCAAGTTGATCAGTTATATCATTAGGACCGTAAATCGACTTTGATAACGATAATCATGTTGACGGTCGTAGGAACTAACCCAGACCATTCATTAAAGTAGTTGATACAAGTCATCGAAAGAACCAAATTCACTTAACTACAGTATAAACACCGAGTTATTTTAGATTAATTCATTTTCCAGGTACTTAGATATGAACCATACTCTAGGTAAGGAGGTCAATGATACTACCACATTGCCAAAACCGAAGTGAGTGGACAGGAGTTCGAATCTGGGGACTGAGTGACTGAAAGTCGAACGCCTCATTTATTAAGCCACCGCTCCTCATTGAGAGAATACGATGAACCAGAAAACTACTAAACACAAGGAGGAACTGAGAATCCGATTAGACTTAACAAAGAACTCTTCAACAGGATGCATAAATGATCTCCCTAAGAAACTCCATATATCATGGTGTTAGGATGAAGCAAAACAAGAGATCATGCTTTCATTCATCATAATATTTATTCAGCACAACATGGGTCAGTCAATCAGTCAGTAACAACGTAGAACTTCGTACGTAAGTACATCAGTTCGAGTTGCCACAACACATTTTCAAAGAGATGCAGTTGTCCATTCAAATCCTACAACGGTAGAGGCAGTAAGAGTATAAGCAGTACTCGGAAACACTAGGGCTTGAAGATGTTAATCAAGGAGTATAATACAGTGAAATAAATTTGGAAAGAGAAAAAAAGAGACAAGGAATATTCAGAAGATTAGCATTTGGGAGAACACAATTAGTGGATGCACCTGCGCCATTGCAAACGATTTTGAGCCATGTCATTCAGACTTTCTAACCATCGGTTACTATCATCTCGCGGTCCCCAACCAGGTAGTCTACACTTACCAACATGACTCATTCCACTTGTCAGTGACTTCATGGACTTATATCATGTTTAGGTCTGACCGCCCCTAGCTTTCTTACAACCTACTCCTACACCATAAAACATCGCACGTCGGGGCAGTCGATTGTTCGGCATACGCAACACATGTCCCAGCCATCTCAAATGATGAACTTTCACCACTTCATCAATTGATTTGCCATCCTTACCTAGTACTCGTTTCCTAACAACTGTGTTACTTACTCGATGGTCCCATGATATACGAGCAATGATTCGAAGACACCTATGATCAAATAATAGTAGCCTACGGATATCCTCTACTCTTACCGGCCATGTTTCACTGCCATAAAGTAGGACGGAACGAACTGCTGCACAGTAAACACGTCCTTTGGTTGACAGATGGATATCTCGCCTACGTCATAAATGACGCAAGTTGGCAAAAGCTAGTCGAGCCTTCTGTAGCCATGCTGAAATTTCGTCGCACACCAGACCACAAGGGCTGATGAGACTTCCAAGATAAGTGAAGCGGTCGACACGCTCAATTACTTCACTCCCTATCATTAGTTCGGGTGTCGGTGCAACCCAATCCTCAAGCAACATTTTGCATTTCGAGGGGGGAAATCGCATCCCGAACATGCTAGCATTAATGCTTAGAGTGGTCAGAAGACTCTGCATTTTGTCAGCGTCTTCACCAAATACAACTATGTCATCAGCATATTCTAAGTCAACAAGTGAACCTCCCGGTAGAAGTTCAACCCTTGGAAATTTAGATGAGGAAAATATCATCTCTAAGTGCACGTCAACTACAAAGTTAAACAAGAATGGAGAGAGTGGACAGCCCTGACGAACACCAATTGAGGTAATCAATTCTCACCAGCTGTGTTCGAGTAAAGAGCCTGTATAAGGTTGGTGTACTTCTTTGGTACTCCTTTCAGTGACAAACACTGCCATAGAACCTCACGATCAACAGAGTCGAATGCCGCCTTAAGGTCGAGAAATACTGCCATTGTGGGGCGTCTGAACGTACGTCTGTGTTCTAGAACCTGACGTAGTGTGGATATCTGATCTATACAACCACGTCCAGGTCGAAAACCGGCCTGGTTTTCTCTAATCTGCTCTTCACGAGCTTTGGTTAGGCGTCGAAGTATTATTGAAGCTAATATTTTAGACACTATATTAGTCAAACTGATTCCTCTGTGATTGTCACAAGAGGACTTTTGTCCTTTCTTATAGACTGGCACAATCAGTGATTGAGACCAGTCAGATGGGATTACGTCCAGTTCCCAAATTCTACCTATGACCTCGGTTAATCTCATTGCTAATACTGGACCACCATCCTTAAAAATCTCAGGTGTAAACCTGTCGAGGCCTGCTGCTCTCCCCCGCTTCAGATTTCCTATGGCTTTTTCAACTTCGTAAAGAGACGGAGGACCTACATTAACTTGCCATTCAGGTTGACTGGAGATCGTGGGAAACCGAAGTGTGGCTGAAGGCCAGTTGAACTGATCCCTAAAGTGTTCTGCCCATCGATCCAATCTCCTGGATTGAGAATGTATAATATGTCCATCTTTTTCTGAGATTGTTTCGCTAACGGTCGCGTTCCTAATTCCGGTTTTCTTAACAAGTCTGAACAATTGTCTGCTATTACCTATTGCCGCTGCTTTTTCCATCTCTCTTGCTTTCGCTACCCACCACTGTTCACGATCATTGCGTAGGCTTCCTACCAGCTTGCGCTTAAGCTGACTCCGCTCTTCATTATGTTCAGAGCCAGGTGGAATGCGTTTCCGAGCATCTATCAGTGAGATAGATGCTGCTGAGATCCAGTGTTGCTCCCTAACCTTATGGGTTACCTTACTGACAGATATCACTGCTGTTTCCACAGCTTTTCGGATATCATTTCATGCTGCCTCGGGGTGGGCATCACATACATGGCTGCCTAACTGTTTCTCTAGTTGTTCCTGAAATATACTCTTAGCTTGACTATCATTAAGTAGGTCCCTAAGAGGTTTCCTTGCAGCGTCTTTCCTACGTCCAGTAAGACGCAGACAGATACGCGCTCGCACTAGAGCATGATCTGAATCTAGGCATGTGCTCCAGAATGAGCGACAGTCTTCTATCGAGCCCCTCCATCGGTGGCTGACAGCGATGTGATCTATTTGGGTCCAACGTTGGGACGAATTAGGAGGTCTCCATGTTAAAAGATGTTTTTCCTTATGCCTAAAGTTAGTATTTGGAAGGAACAGGCGGTTATCTGAGCATAGCTGCAACAGACGGTCGCCACTATTTGTTCTTTGAGCCACGACACCATAAGATCCACCCAGGTGTCTTTCCCTATCGCTAAGTTTACCTACTTGAGCATTAAAGTCACCGGCCACTTTTGCTACATCAGAGCGCCTAGCTTTTCGGAGAAGGTCGAAAAGCTTTCTGTAAATCTCGTCTTTTACATCATCTGAGCTGCAGTCAGTGGGAGAGTAAGCAGAGACAACGAAGAGGCATGGGAAGTTCACTTTTTATTAATTCAGTGAAAAATCCATTCTGTATCCCGACTATATAGATTACGTATGGTATGTCTTGACGATTGTTCATATGCCAGTGAAATATGTACATAAAAAAATGTATTTAGTTAATAAATCGTAGTCATGTATTGAGAGAGTGAATAAAATATCTATCTGCCAGTAACTCTGCCTTCTTTTTAAGTTTTGCAAGTTCAGCTTACTCATTTGTTTCAGTTTTCATTTGCACTTAAACCACTGAGTTGGAGAAACATAATGGTCTCCAACTTCATCCAATCAGCTCATGATATAAAGGTTTTATTCTCCGTATGATTGAACTTAACTGTACAAGGCTGACCATTATAATTCCGAGTAAGGAGATTTCCCCCATTAGTATTCAACATCATACCCAAGGAGTTAACTCTTATGATCGTATTATTCCATTCAGTATTTACGTTTCATCAGCTGTATGCATCCACTTTTCTCCACGTTGTGGTTTAATTTGAGAATAAAACTCAGTAGTTTTTTGTTAAAACACATGCTAACTTAGTGGTCTAGGAAATCCATAAGTTAATATAAATTAATCAAATCCACTTCTGGTTTATCAGCAATAGGGAAACTAAAA